GTCAGTTTTATCTTTATTTCAGCGAGACAATTGGAGGAAAAAATATTTATGAGGATTAAATATTTATGAAGATTACATTTAAAAGAAAAGAGAAAAAAAATAAGAATGCATAGCAGGAAAAAAAAAAGACTAGATAAGGGTTGAAGACAAAAAAAAAAAAAAAAAAAATCGCAAATGTTAAAAAAAAAAAACTGGGACGAAACATTTCACCTGATTCCTCTCAGGGACGAAAAGTGGAATAGGCAAAAATTATGTTTAATAAGGTTCTTTTGAAAATCAAGAAAAAAAATAGTAGAAAAGTGAGGAGGAAGAAAATGAAAGACCGAACAATCTTAAAGACTAAAAACTAAAATAAAAAGCAAAAAACAGAAAAAAAAAAAAAAGGGAAAATCTGTTGAAAAACGGATGGTTATATATATATATGTTGAGTTTATTTATTGGGTACTTATAAAATGTATTTGAGATGGTTTCATTAAACAAAAAAGATAGGGACGTATATAAAAAGAAATCATTTCAAATGGCTATGAGAATCACATTTGAAGAAAGGAGAAAAAACTATAAGAATGTATAGAGTAAAAAAATATATATTGTCAACATGCTCCTTAAGGTTAATTCCGTTAAGTTTTTTAACGGAAATACTTATAAATGCCCCATGAACTTTATCTCTTGTGTTAATATGCGTCCTAAACTTTAAAATATACTTATTTTGCCTCCCGAATTATGATATGTCTCCAACTTTTTTTTCCTCCATCTTGATTCTATCAATTTTTTAAATGAAAATATTGATATAACCATTAAATTGCTAATTATCTATGATATTTGAGGTTTATTGAGTACCTTCTCATCTAAAAATGTTAATTTAAGCACTAATTCTCAAAACATTAGTTAATTAGAGGCAATAAAGAGGGAAAAAAAGAGAAGCAAATTTATATAATATAATGAATTTTGTTTTTTACTTAATATTTCACCTAGATGGAAGTGCTCGATATAAAACATGTTTATGCTTTATACATATATAGCATTTCTAAATCTAAATGCATTCAAGTCATTTATTTTATTGTACTTTTTAAAAAAAAATCAACACAAACCTTAAGAATTAACTTAACAAACTTTAATGGTCAAATATCATAGATAATTAGTAATTTAATGGTCATATCAACATTTTCGTTTAAAAAGAATCAAGATGGAGGGAGAAAAATTGGAGACATATCATAGTTCATGGGGCAAAACATGTACATTTTCAAGTTCAGATGGCATATTGACATAAGTGACAGAGTTTAAAGGGTGTTTTTAGGCATTTCCGTTAAAAAACTTCACGGAGTTAACTTTAAAGATCATATTGATACAAATGATAAAATTCAGGGACACAACATGTACATTTTAAAGTAAGGGAGAATTAATAAAATTTGTTCCAAAAAATTGGGACTAAAAATTTCGTCTCATACTCTAAGGGACAAACGGACCAAACGGAAGGCGGTTTTTAGTATAATAAAGATAAAGATATGTATATATGTGTATGTATTTATGTGTATTAATACACAAGAGTCGATCGATACCTAGATCTGCACTTGTTACGAGGGGACTAGTCAATCTTTCGTCGTGTATTTTCCAAGAATAATGACTTTCTCACTGCTATTTGAATTTGTAATAAATTATCTTCGTTTGTGTAACCCCGCAACATTATTTATGAAAATTGAACAGGCCTTGGGACTTGCTGCTTCAACGTATATATGACATCTTGACATTCGTGATTAGATATTTTGGAAACTTCATAAGTTGTAAATTTTGTTAGCCCAGGAAAAAAAAAAAAAAAAGAACCTTTTGCCTATAAAAGCTGACGGCTAATTTTAAGTTACTTCCATAGGATCATATCATATAGATATTTATAGGTTATAGATTAAAGCGAGATGTGTGGGTTTTTCTTGTTAATGAAATGTTTGGGTATTGCTCTGGGCGTGTTTTGTTGCTCATGCTTTATTTTGGATTATTCATAGATCACTCACATCAAGTGCATGGGAAGCCAGAAGATGAAGATTACCAAGTATAAGATGTGGATGATAATGGTAGTTTTGAGTTGAAGATGGTCAGATTTTTCTAATTTTGTTTGTTTTGTATGTTCAAATAACAAATTTTTACGTTTGAATATTGATATCAAGTACTCCTACTGCGTCGTTGTTTTTTTTTTTTTTCTTTTTTTTTAATTTGCTTCTAATTACTAATTACTCTCTCTCTCTCTCTCTCCTCTCTACCATGCATGCATATATACATACATATATTAATGAAAAGAAAAGAAAAGATGTTTGCATTTTAAGATGTAGTTGTTTCTTTGTTCACTAATCATTTATCATTTGTACATGTTTTTAAACATTATATCTGACCAAGATCTGACTGTTAAAATACAACCAGATATTATTTTTTTTTCTATATATATATATTACCTAGATTTATCATTCTTCTTCTTCTTCTTTGTTTCTTGCATTTTATATACCTTGGACCTTGGGCGTGGACATTGTGGTGCGTGTGTATGTTTCGTTTTTTCATATATAACCCTAAAAAATGATACATCTCAATCTTACCCATTTCCCAAATAGGAAAACGTACAAAGAATAACAAAAAAAAAAAAAAAAAAAGCTCGGGAAACATATAATTGTGATAAACAAACGTAAATCTAGATGATCCGTTGCTACTTGAATTATTTTTGGTGGACACATAATTGATCAGTTTACCTACTTAAATTCTAACATGCGAAATGACACAATACATTTTTATTTCCCACGCGCAACGTTAATCACATTATACAGTTAGTAGTTCGTTATTTAGAAGCTGAATGATGTCAAAATTAGTCTATTATCATGCAACAAACACATTTGACTCAAATGTGCTTGTCAATACGTATGTATGATTATATTCCTATAATAATGGTTGTTCAACTACCTTACCTTCTTAATAATTAAAAATTATTATGGGAAACTTTATTTATGTAACTTTTGTGATCTTTGATCTTTTCTTCGTTGGCTCAGATATATTAATGCCTTCGTACTTTCGATTAATCATTCAATCATTTCTTTCCTTAGTCGTTCAATTTTAAAAAAAAAAATGGAAAGGACCGGGTATGGTATATATTCATGTCGTTTGTTAGCTAAACTTTAAAAATGTATAAAACAAGATTATTTGTATTGCACTCAACATATTAAATGGATTTGATAATTGCATTATGGGTTAAGTTTTTATGTAGCATTAAAAAAATCACAATTATTTTCTTTCATGTTACTACAGTGTTATATTTAATTATTCTGATAATTACCGCAAGTAATTAGTGTGTCATTGTTCGTACTGACAATAATAACTAGTTGTAATTGAAGTAGCGATGATGTAATAAAAATAAATAAATATCACAATAGTTGCAAAAGGAAAATAATTTATTTTGTTAATGGTGTATAAAATATTGTTATAGTACAAGTACATGCATGCACAAAATGATATATTGGATTTGGAGGTCGTATTAGTTTAAGCTTGAAAAATGATGTGAGATATTCAATCTTAGTTCCAACCAAACCAACAGAAAATCAATCAAATTACTTGAATTATGATTTCCAACCAATCTCATCAACTACTAATTAGATCATCCTCAATGCAAATGTTAATATCAATTATATATTTAGAATAAAAAATTATGATATAATATATTGTTTTCATTTTTGCTCTAATACATAATGATATTTGAAATGCGAAATCTACTTTTTCATATAATTATTAAGCTTTAGAAGTTGTAAAAGTAAACTTTTATTTTTAAAATAATTAGAAAATGTAAAAGTTGCACTAATTACATGAAAAAAGTAAATATTTCAACCAATAATAATCAAATGTCAAATTTCTCATATGCAATACTTGATAGAAAATTTACTACAAAATATATAGTATATGAGAAATTTAGCATAACAAATAGCATTGCATTGGAGAGTATTTTTTACACTCAAATATTAAATTTATAATTAGTACATTAATTATAACATTACTTTAGAGATGCTATTAGAGTTATATCTCAAGAGCACGGTATTTTTCTAATTAAAAGGTGAACCAAACACTTGGCAAACATGTAAAAGAGGCTTCTCCAGAAGTTATTGGGTCATCAGACAAAGGGTTCAATTTTTGTTGATAATGAAGTCAAAATTTCTCAACTTATATAGTGGTCCACCTTTCTATGTTTTAGGCTTTTTTGGCTAGCATACAATGATGAAGAAAATAGCATTAGAGAAACTTTTCCTATAATTTACAATTCCTGCAGTTACATGTGTGCTTCTGAGAGGCCGCATTAGTTTATTATTTGATGGATGACCACGCAAATGGTTTTGTTTTGTACGCCCAAAATTTAACAAGTCATTTTGAAACTTGGCGGAAAAATTGAAGACCTATTTGTTTATTTATTTTGGTTTTGCATGCACTAATAAAATTTGCATTTGTTTCTTGTTGACTGCTGTTCTGATTTTTGTTATTTAGTGGAATTTTATGAAAAAATAAGACTCGCAGCACACAATTTTTAACAATTCGATCACACTATAATTATATTAGAGTGAAAAAAAAAAATGTATGAAAGTTTGATAGAACTTGATAAAGAGTTTAGATTTTTTTTTTAAAAAGAATAAAGAGTTTAGTGACGCCATAAAGCACTAGTGACAACCATAACACAAACTTAGACAAAAGCAAAAGAGACAAACCAAAATATGACAAGAGAACCTTAAAAGAAGGAAGTCATTTTTTTGTCTTTTCCATTTTTTGTTTCCTTTTTTTTTTCTTCTGAAATGAATATTTTAACAAAGACGAAGGAAATGGCATAATATTTTCGTGGCAGTTTTTGTCGTTGTTACTTGTAAAGGTCATTCTAAAGTCTAAACCGTAAAAAACGGTAAAAGGAACCGTGGCGGTCGCGGGCTTCTCGTTTCAATCTCTCTCTCTCTCCCCTCCAACAATACATATATAAAATACCCATATTGAACATCTTGTACTCGCAACAAAAGAAAAGGAGAGAGAAAGAGAGAGAGAAACAGTTGTTAAAGCACAAAGTTTCATTACGTTTAATATTGATTGATGTGTTGTTTGTATATATATATATATATATATACACATGTATAGTTATTAATAATCATGGCTTGTGCGTTAACGCAATAAGTTAATTTTTTGATTGGAGTAATTCCCACAAAGACGACACTCAATCTCTTTGCTTTTTCTCCAAAACAGAGAGATTTCCTCAAGGGATAGAAAGAGAGTTTTCTTGGCTTGAAGAACATACCATCCTCTTCTTGTAAGTCTCTCTCTTCTTTTCTTATAGTTTCCTTTCTCAAAATTCTTCTTCTGTTCTCTAAGTTATAGCTTATTTCCTTTTTAAGGTCTTTGTCTCTTAAAGGTATCTACTTTCCCATTGAATATGTGGGTCTTTTTTCATTCATTCATTCATTCTTCCCCATTTCTTTTCTCTGCCTACTTTCTTGCTCTTCCTTTATTTCCTTATGCCTTGTCATATTTCAAATGTTTTTCTGTTTTGCCCCCTTTTTTTTTTTGCTTTGATGATTGGTATATCTTTTAGTTATTAGGCTGTTCGGGGTTGTTCATGTTTTTTTTTTCCCCCCCTTCATAAAAAGGACCTTTACAACCTTCATTCTGTTTCATCCTTTTCATGTATTTAAAAATATTCCCTACAATTAACCTTGTCCGAATTGAATTCTCTTTTAGGTAATTTTTTTTAAAGAGTTTTATCTTTTGTCTACTTCTTTCATAAATAGTAGTTAATAGTGTCATTTGTTCATTCCCTTTATGAAATTCCATTGTTCAAACAGACACTATCTGTTATTGTTATGCAGGAGCCAAACCCAAAAAGCTTGTTCAAGAGTTTTTCTTTAAGAAGTGGTGAGTTGTTTTTGCTTTGTGATCTTGAAGATGGGAGATCATTTTGTGTTGTTGATGGATCGATTACTCACGGAATCAACATTACAAGCTGCAATCGAAAGCAGAAACCGAGAAATCCAATCCGCCATCTCGGTCATTGAGAAGTCGAAAACCAACGACTTGTCAAAGAAGGTTGATTTTGGAGACGTATCATCTCCAAGGAAATTAGTAGAGTGCAGGATATGCCATGATGAGGATGAAGATTCTAACATGGAGACACCCTGCTCTTGTTCTGGTACCTTGAAGGTCAGTTGCTCATTCTAACAAGTAACTTATAGTTTGTATTCTAATAGTTGCTTGGTTTCTTAATCTCTTGTGAACTTATTTGTCTACTTTGTATGTGTTATCGAGAATTCATTGATAAAATATGAACAGAATACCCTACCCACCGACAGAGTATTATTGTGAAACATTAGATTATCATCAAGTTTCGTTAAATTGACAATTTGATCTGGTGGTGTCATATCATAGAATCCTCCATGCCAAGTGTAGTCATAATAAGTACCTTTTTACAAATTTCATTGGGAACACAAAATGGTCACGAACTGCATAAAAATGTTGAAGTTTGAGTCAATTGTAAGCTTCTTTGTTTATTTAATAGTATTTAAGACCATGTTTTTCTTGATATTTCACGAGACCCAGTCAACAAAATCCAATGAAGGATTAGAACAAAGAAAGAACTTTACATAATTAAATAGGGATGTCAAACTTAGCTGCAAAAAATAAAAATAAAAAATATCAGCCGATATGCAGATTTGATGATGTCCATCTTGGTGGGCTTTGAAAACTTTCTTCTTTACTATTTCATCGCAATGATTTATTTCTAGAAAGCTTACAAGTTAATTATGTTCCATGCTAATTTGATTATTTTTATTGAACTACATAAACTTCATTATAAGCATTCCAAGTAAATGACATTGGTTCTCCACATCCCATACACACACTGCAATCTGCAATTATGCATTTGACTAAAACAGCATTCTGACATCTCAATTATTTATTACACATGTACATACTCCTCAGACAGCATTCATGTCTCTCCTCACTGTTAGTTGGGCAAAATGGGTCCAATTACGCCTTTTGTTAGCTCAATGCCTTTGATCCACAAACAAATATTCAAGGGAAAATAGACTCTAGCCTTCCCAAGATAGAGATACATTACCTGTCAAATGAACCGTAGAGAAAAAAAAAGATTGAAAAAAAAAAAGCCTAAAAGTTTTGTCCATCAGAGTACCTGTTACTATTAGGAACTGTTTAAATAAAGGTCCCGCTAATTTCACCGATTTAAATTTAGAATTCGAGTTTTGTTATAGTAAAAAACTCTCTGAAACAGTCACATCTAACTTTTTTACTACAGTAAAAAGCTTTCACATAAAGTCACATATCAACTCGAATTAAAAACTCAAATCAGCGAACTAAACGGGCCCAAAAACTACGTCTTGCAAACATTGTAAATTGTAATCTTTACAGACTTCTCATTCCCAATAGAATTGAGGCGTTTTGTGTTCCATTTATTTATTTTATATAGAAAAATGCTAAACATTTCGACTTAAGGTGAACTGGGATATGAGATAGAGAATTGTTGAGGAAAAACACACACTTATATTCACGCAACAGAAAAAATAAATTGAAATAAAAAATAACAAAAAAAAAAGCACATAAGATAAAGATTTACTTGGTTAGGAGAGAGAGGAAAAATTCACTAACAGTTTCAGAATTATACACTCAACACACTTTTTCACTTTCTCTTTTTACCCAAAATTCCTTACATCATTTGCATATCTCTCTCCTCACGTTTATCTCTTTTTCTCAAAAAGAGACACTATTTCTTACACTTCTCTCTTTAAGCACATCCTACACGAATCACTTATTTATAGACTCCCATGAGCCATAAAATAACTCTTGGCAAAAAACAGAAAACAGTAACTGACCCAAAAAATTCAAATAATTACTTTCCCAAAACTAATTTGAGGCAATTACCTAACAATCTCCATATTAACTCAAGTTCTCTCAACTCATTGGTATTCAATCTCGACACTTATCATTGCACTCCTCGTGGATGGGATGACAACGATGCTACTTCAACAAGAATACACATGTGTCGAGTTTAAACTTTCATCAAACTTGACACGAGAAACTGACTTTTTTTTTCAAAGCATCTTCATTGCCATAAGTTTTCATCATCTCGCATTCATTGTCTTTAACTGTAGTCATCTTGTTGCCATCTTTACTCATGCAATTTTTTTTCACAACAGAAGAAGACTCTTCTTGGCTTGGCTCCACTTTTATAGCTCTACCTACAATTGTAGTCCCAATCAACTTACACAAGTTTTTCACTTTTACACCCTTCATGGCTACTAAATCACCTTTCTTAACTTGTATAAAACCATCATTCGCATAATACTCACAACCCAAAGTGTCTAAAGCCCCTAAAGAAATCAAATTTCTTCTTAATTGAGGAACATGTCTAACAGTTGTCAATTTCCTCATAACTCCATCAGACATCTTCACCTTCGCAGTACCTATTCCAACAGCTTTAGCACTAGAATAATCGGCCATCGATAAAGTACCTGCATCACAAGGCTTATAAGAATTAAACCACTCCTTATATGGGCAGATATGAAACGTGCATCCAGAATCTAAGATCTAAGAGTCATAAACATTTTCATCAACAATAATAGAATACACATCATCTTCACTGTCATACATGTTACCAACAACATTTACAAAACCTGAAGTCTCTTGAGTCTCTTACTTTCTTTTTTCCTCAAGGTACTTTATCAGTTTTTCACAGTTTCTCCTAATATGCCCCTTCTTATGACAGTAATAATACTCAATATCCTTCATTAGACAGAAATGAGAATGATCATCTCTCTTATCATAACATATCTCTCGTGACTTGCTCCTACCCCTATTCGAATCTGACTGTGTCACTAAAACTTATTCAATATGAGACGTATCACTAGGCTTTTTCATATTTACAGTCTCTAACAGAGCAGTCGACACCTCATCCACAGTCAACGTTATCTTTCCAACTAATAGTGTAGTAACTAAAGTCTCATGATTTAGATAGGGAGGCCAACAAAATTACTGCTCTATTTTCCTCATCAATTTTACCTCTACACTTAATAATTGAGTTATGTACTAATTAAAATTATTTATATGGTCCCTAACATCACTTTCTTCATCCATCTTCAACTCATACAATTGTTTCTTCAAATATAGTCTATTTTTTAGGGATTTTGACAAATAAATTTTTTTAAATTTTTTCCATAATTCAAAAGGAGATTTTATTCATAACACTATATTTCAATTCAGGAGCTAAACTTAAACGAATAGTGCTTACCGCTCTCGCTTCTAATTCTTCCCAATCTTCATCTTTCATCTTTTCTAGCTTTTTTTCTTGCAGCGCTTTCAATAATCCATGCTAAATTATAACATCTTTTACTGTACTCTGCAAGATGCTGAAATTACTTTTTCCATCAAACCGCTCAATCTGCTCAAACTTTATCCCATACATCATCTTGACCTTTTTTTTCTTTTAATCTTCATCATAGCTACCAGTTGTTGAGGAAAAATAAATCCTTATACCTACGCAGCAGAAAAAATAATCTGAAACAAAAGATAAAAAAAAAAAAAACAGATTAGACAAAGATTTACTTAGTTCAGTAGAGGGAGAAAAAATTCACTAACAGTTTCATAATTACACACTCAACAAACTTTCTCACTTTCTCTCTCTACCCAAAACTTTTTACAACATTTGCCTATCTCTCTTCTCACTTTTCTTTATTTCTCTCAAAAGGGGACATTTGCTTACATCATTTTTTCTCCGCACATAAAACTTTACACGAACCACTTATTTATACTTTTATGAGCCATAAAATAATTTTTACCAAAAAACAGAAAATAGTAATTTACCTAAAAAATATAAAATAATTACTTTTCTAAACTAATTTGAGGTAATTACTTAACAGAAATTGACCCACTACATGCGGTGGGACCTATCCCCTTTCTGGCATGAGTCGGGATGTATAGCTCTGCTCTTTTTAAAATGCGTTTTGTCTGTAGCGTTCTATAATTATATGTAATAATTCTGTAGTCATATATCTGTCTTGGATCTGCAGTATGCCCATAGGAGATGTGTACAGAGGTGGTGCAATGAGAAGGGGGACACAATGTGCGAGATATGCCATGAGGTGAACTAGTTTTTATGACTGAAAAATTTAACAGTCAAATTCAACTCCTTCTGTGTTCTGGTCATTTTCTATGATAATAAATTGTTTATTTTCAGCCATTCAAGCCTGGTTACACTGTTCCTCCTCCATTGTTTCAATTTGGGCGTATTCCAATGCACTTCAGGTGAAAAAAAAAAATTTGGAATGTTGTTGGTGCTTTAATTAATGAATTCTACTATAAGGTCTTATAAAGTCATTGATAATGATCGTAAAATTTAAATCGGATAATACATATTTTTAAGATTGCACCGTTACACCAGCATAAGCATTATCGGATTTAAATAGTACGATATGATTGATGTCACCCACTCCTAGTGTGGGGCTGCTTCCACTATAGAATTTCTTAAGGTGTGATATTATTTTCTCAACTTGGGCAATGTACTAAAAATAAACAGGGGAAACTGGGAGATTTCAAGAAGAGACATAAATAGCCCTCGCATTGTAGCAATGGTTTCCACTAACCGAAACTTCCTGGATCCTGACTTTGATGATTACTCAGCTTCCAATTCTGGAGGTCTCACATGGTGTCGTTCGGTGGCCGTCACTGTAATCTTTCTCTCTCCTCTCTCTATTGTTTGTTATGGTATGAAAGTGGTAAAAGAATAATCATATACTTGTTGACAATAAATCAGTAAATCACTACTTGCCATTTTGTTTTGTTTGCAGTTCATTATTCTGTTGATTCTAAGACACACTCTTCCCTTGTTAATCAGTGGAAACCATGACTACTCTTTCTTCTCTTTCCCACTGATCATGGTAAAAGAATTTTAGCTTCCTTTTTTTCCCTTTGTTAAAGCCGACAATAGAAAATTATGTGGTATGAATTACTGCTTGGACCCCTTTTTTCTATCTTGGGCAGTTGCTATTTCTTCGAATCGTTGGGATTGTTCTGCCGATATATGTCATGGTCAGGGTGGTGACTGCCATCCATCAGCGCCGCCGCCGTAACCACCAGGTAAATAGTTACAGAATTGTTGTATTGTATTATAAAATCCAATGTCAGTCACACTGATTATTGGTTTGAAAAAGGTGGCGCAACTATCCTTAACACGACTATCGTATTAAGATATATTTTTTTACTGACTATACTAATTCATTTTTGTGCATCTCTGTCTACCTTTGGTTTTGGTGGATGAACAAATTAGGTCCTTCCTGTTTCAACGTTAGATACTTCTTCGGATGAAGAAACCGAACAGTCGGATATGCAGCCTCGGCCCCATGCAACTCGTGTAAACTGATTTTACTATACACAAAAAGAGAATCAAATCCAAAGCACCTGGTAACTCTTCCATTGCAGAACATGAACTAAAAATGAAAAGGAACAGAGCTGCAAAGGAATACTTCTTGAATCAAACGCTATGATATGATGGGAACAAATGTCCCCTTTGGTCATCATAAAAGAATAGGCAATACATCTTCTGCAAACTGCAGTTTGACTTTTAGTTTTGTTCAAGCTAGATGTAGGTTATAAGGTCTCCTCTTAGCGCCAAAAAAAAAAAAAAAAAAAAAAAATTTACAAGATGTACACTTTCTTCTTTTACTCAATCACATCTGTACAGTTGACGAGTATCCCACTATTGTGTATACAGAGATTATCATACTAGGGAAACTGACATATTAGGGCAAAGTAAAGGTTAACCATTTTCCGTTATTTTGTGGGTTTTTTTTTTTTAAAAAAAAAAGGAAAATGCTGTTGTTTAAATATTACAACTTGATAGTTGATGATGCTCATGCTTGCACGTACAGACACATCTTTACACAAACAATATTCATCCTCCACTTCTATGGTAAGGGTTGTCCTTTTTAAGTACCATTTAGATTAAGCTTTAAATTATCTAATCTATAAGTGCTCATGTTGAAAATTTGCAACACACATATAACTGAAGGACAATTCCTATAGAAATTCCTTTTTTTGTGTGTGTGTTTTTGGGTATGAGTATTGCATAACCTGTTCAATATGGCCCAGAAACAAGATGAAAGGACACAGCAAAGGAAGTATACCAGAAGAGAACCCCCTAAAAGAAAGTACACCAGGAAGGGCTAAAAAAAGGATAGAGTAACAGAATTACACTAATGAACTCTGTAAGACAATGGGGGGAGAGGGATTAACAATTAGGGAAAAGAAGGAAAAAACAACAACAAAAAGAGCCGCTGAGATCTAGGATGCTTCTCTCCCAAAATTTAAGAATGTGAAACAAATCTGTACAATCCACATGGGATCTTATCTTAAATCTTAAATAGTTAAAAGCTCGATCAGGGTATCTGCTACAAGGCTGTATGTAAGGATTCCTACTCAGCCACCCTGAATCCTCCTGCTCAATGTATTAGTTTCCTCTTTACAACAATCTTGGCTCCAGTTTCTTCGCCTGTTGCCTTTTAGAGCAATCTTAGTTCCAGTTTCTTCTTGGCCTGAAATGTAGTAAAGAACACGAATAAGACAAAGATGAATGCTACAAAAACACTCTCTCTCTCTCTCTCTCCCTGATATCTCTAGCTCGCTCTTTTTTTCCCTTTAATTTCCCTCTTTCCCACCCTTCTTCGAGTTCAATCCATTAATCCTCTATGAAGGAGCACATTACCCTCCTAACTATCATATGTTCTTTAAAGAGTGTAGTTGATGAAAATACTTCCGACTCTTCTGCTGTGAACGCCAATAGCAAGCAAGCGCTCCGAATGCACAGCTAGCAACAGCAATTGCCAATGCAGCCCCCACAGGCACCACAACTGCATTTGTAGAGGCCACTAAATCCTCAAGAGCCCCAATAGTCAGTAAATTTCCAAGAGCATCTTTATCTTTGTAAAGAGAAACAAGGGTTTTCCCATAGTAATTTGTCAAAAATTTGAACACTTCATCCTTATCCCAGTCGATTTCATTATTCCTCTGGTTATGAGAGCGATAACAAGAAGGGCAAAGCTGCTTCGGAGGCCAAATCATCTTCGGGAATTTAGGATCAACAGTTTCAAGAGATGCCTCTTCCTTAATCAGTCTCACGTTGACCTTATTGTGCGCACTCCATAGCCAAAGGACAAAATCACGGGTTTTGTTTAAGGGACCAGAAACACTACAAATTAGAAATAACCAGCAGTCAGATCAAAAGGACACAAGAACACCTTAAAAATTTATTGTTTCCTGTAGCATTTACCTTGAGCACATGTCATAAAAATGCTGGCGACATTCCTCACATACGAAGAAGTTGTGTACAAAGTCACATATAGCAGTAAATGCGAACTGACTCTCTCCATCCTCAACTCTCACGGACAATGAATGCATAAGAACCCACAATCCACAACTGTGGAAAAAAGAAAGGCGAACACACGGCGCGCACACGGGCACGCACACACACACACATAAGAGAGTTATTTTTTGCTGCAGGGTGGGAAAAAAAAAGGCTATAACGAGGAATAAGATGTTGCAGTTAGTTACACTGACGGAAAAAAACATTCAGTAGACCCAAACTGTGATGGGAAAGGGAAGATTGATAGGGATGGACTAGCTAGGGAAAACAAAGTTTTCTTATGAAAATAAAAAGCTGAAGAAAAGACTACAAAGAAGCAAGGAAACATCTAATAAGCAGCTCTGATTTGTGAACCAAAGCAAATATGACAAACCTAAAAAAAGAAAAAAAAGAAAAAGGAAACAAAGCAAGAACGAGTATGATAATTTAGTTAACATATCAGTTTTGATGGGTTGATAAATAAATAGATGATTACCTAAAACCCCGGGTGTCGTTCTTGCTGCCACGGCAGAACATCTGTAAAGAACACAAAAGGCAATAAATACAGAAGAAATTTGCACTAAATGTTCTCATACAACATTCTAAACGTACTCAACACAAAGGATGAAGCAAACAGAGTACATAGTAGAATAAACATGATGAACTACAAATGCCAAGTACCCACCCAATAACCTCGTGGAACATTTTTCCCGCAAATCTGAAAAGTACCCAGTGGACCGTGTCCATCATTTTCTTCCTGTTTATTAGCCAACAACAGATCTGACGGGAACAAGTCATCAAAGTTCACAAGTATCTCAGCACTTCCCTTGCGGCACCTGATATACATAATCTCGAGTATTATATACAGTACTGTGTTGCGAAAGCAAAAGGGAAAATAAGGAATGGTCCTTACCTCTTAGAAGGATGATGAGCCACTAGAATTTGAAGAAACTTAATAAGTGAAGCTCGAGTATTTGATTTGATCATCTATGAAGACACAGACACAAGATGGGTAAATCAAAACAAATAGCATTAAAAGAAAAATTAAAAAAAAAAAGAAAGAAAGAAAGAAAGAAAGAAAGAAAGCCTAGGGAGGGAAAATAATTTATACCTTGTGTTCTAAGATGATATCAAAGGCAGTGGCAGTTGCCTCTTCAACATCATAGACAGCTCGTGCAATCTTGACGAAAACATGCATTAAAACATTATATCTTGAACTAGAAGTAGCACAAATTTGTAAAAGCAGTGAAAAAACTTAAGTTTGAGCTCACGGATGCACCTGCCCAGGATCTGAGACATTTGATGGAAGATGGTCATTTTCGAATTTCTCATCACCCAAGCTGAATGAGCTGTAATTTAGATAGAATTAGAAAACAGAACAATACACTTGTTTTCAATAGTACTTAACTTCGATTCTATTACAGTAATATTTTGATGATAGTGCACACTCCATGTATAAAACACAAGAGTTTCTCAAAATGCGCAGTTTATGCGCAAGTAATTTAACAGTTTGTTACTTCATTCTCATTTCTATCATGTGAGGGTGAAATATATCATACACTAGAAAAAAAGATGCAAATGAAAGAAACATTCTTTTCTTAGCAAAGGAAAAATAAAAGATGCAAGTGATCGACTAAAATAAAGGAGAAAATGCATCTAATGCGTATCAATGTGATAATTGCTTCTGAATATTTAGTTCTTACTTCTCAGTTAAGCATTATGTTTATAGAAAACCAAGTCTTGGTGGAATCTTGTTTGTGGAAATCTCCTTCAAAAGAGTGCAGGAACTTTTCCTCTCTTTTGGATGGGATGATTTCCTGTACCTTATAAGCTGCTTCTTTTTTTCCCACCTCCTTTTTTCCTTCTTTAATATATATATGTATACCTATATATATGTATATCCTCACCTACTCTAAAGGAAAACTATGAAACGGATAGCACAGGCAAGTTGTTCAACAAAAAGGTAGGGAATAATAAAATACACGTACAAAAAACAATGTTGATAAAAACAATCTATATAATCTCAAGTGGCCCATCTTCTTTGAATAAAAACATCAAGTGCGTTTTAACATTTTGATCAAAATAAGCAATGAACATATATACCTCATACCTGCCTATTTGCTTGTTGATCCAATTAAGCAACTGATCAGCTGTACGCCCGTCATTAATTACACGTAGTTCACTTTTTTCTTGTTTAGGTTCCCAAACACCACCTACAAATTTAGAAGGGGGTCCCCAGAAGAGCATAGGATATTGACCCACAGAGAACCTATCACACAGTTTAGAATTTATCTGTGCTGCCAAATAAGCAAAAGAAAGTTCTAATTATCAAGCCATACTTTAATAGATAGAAAGACATTAATATAAATACGAAAATGAAAACACATGGAAATACAGCAGACTAAAGCAAAGGACCGTGCCACCAAAATACTTCTGTCAAGATCAATTCTCTTTATTCATTTGATGTTCTGCTAGATTTCATTTGTTTAAGGAAACCTTTTTCAGAAGTGCGAGTATTGCCTCAACTAGTTAGTTAACATTACGGAAAAGCAACTGCTCCATATAAAAAGAATGGACAACCAGTTCTATATGTTTTAAGAGAAATCATATGAGGAATATATATTTAAAAATAGAAGGGGAAAAAAGCACACAACATATATACCTTAGCCGCACAGTCTACCCTTGTCATCAATACGATCCCCGGATGAACAGCATCTGGTCCATTGAAAAGCCTCGCTACCTTTTCATAATGAGGCTGCAGATTTACTTTTTCTTAACAACGGCATGACATGAGAATGATTCAACAAAGTTTTTAAACAAAAATCTATGGCTGTCATACCTTATAGTTTCTGCAAGCAGGGCACCTGCCAGAAAAGCAACAAACAAAGAAAATTAAACTTCACCAAACATACACATTAAAAATAGCAAGCTAGGTTCGAGAAACTAGCCAGCCAAAGAATGTGAGTACAAGAGAGAGATAATTGTGCCAGTTTCTCGTCTAGTTATAAAACCCAACAAAGAATCATATAGGCACCCATTTCTGAGTTTGTACTTTATGCACATGTGTGCCTAAATTTACTATATTGGACTTTACAAAGTCCTGTAGTATATATGGTTTTCTTTCCTCTAGCAATTGGTACATGATATCTGTATGATTGATATGATTTTTTGGCATTTTGTATATGATCTTTTATGCAGGTAAACACTTTCTTGCATTTAAAATCAGAAACTTCCCGAAATACGCATATATATATATATATATACATATATATATATCCATATACGCAAATCTGTTTCATTCAAAAACTATCTGCCATGAAAGCAAGCAACTAAGCCAAAATTCTATGCATCAAAATTGCAATATTTGCCTGTGACAAACCACGAAAAGAAGCTAAATCATAAATGTTTAAATAAATCCCAATCCAAAGCAAATCAACCGAACAAATTCAAAAATTAATAATAAAAAAAAAAGAATTCTTCAGCTCCTATATTAGATCTATAACGAAACTTAGTACAAGCATTAACATACATAAATTTTGCATATTCAATAAACGACTCGAATCAAATAGATAAAAAAGACAACTTTTTTAATTTATTAAAAAAACTGACCAGTGGGCGAAAAATTCAACGACGGCGAAAGTAGCGGGGGTGTCCTTGAGTACGGAATCGAAGTTGGTGACGTTCAAATCGACGGCGTAGTCGCGAGGATCGCCGTTGTCGCCGTCGATTGCTCGGAGAATCGACCGCGATCCCATATTAGCCGACGACGAAGACGATGAAAAATCGAAGCTCCCCAAAAAGAGGCTCAAAATCACAATCCGAATCGCGCCAGACATGGATGCAACTAGATCAAAATCAGCTAGCCCTATACCGAATAAATTAGGGTTTTCGAAGATTTAAGAAACGCTGTGATATAAATTAGGCGTTTTGTTTTTCTAATTAAATGTCGAAATTTAATATCTTAAGAGGAAACTAAGAGCTGAGGAAGATCTGCAGCTTCAATGGTTGTTTTGTTGTTGCAGAGGTTAAAAACTTAAAAGGGCAAAATGTGTGTTTTGTGGGGTCAAATGCTTCAAAAGGCCTTCTTTGTATGGCCTTTTTTTGTGTGTACGATTTGAACGGAATTACCAAATTCCAACCCAAAGATTGTTTTCCTTTCCTTTGGAGAATAAAAAAGCAAAAATGTATTTTCTACCGTGTAACACCGAAAAATAACCAATTAGTATAACACTACTTTCTTACCGTTAAATTAGTTTGTAACGGTCATAATTATAATAAGAATAATTTTGACTGAAGTGTTGTAAATTTTTAATATAAACACGGTGAGTTTTTTTATAGTGTTTTACCGTAAAAATTGCCTTGAATAAAAAGGTAAAACAATAAAATAAAAGAAACTTTTCTAGTTTTTTTTTTTTCTTTTACTTGATGTTAAAAAGAAGGGAGATTTTTTCCCTTTTAAAAAAAGTGAAATGTGTTGTTTTCTTTTCTTTTCGTTTCTTGTAAGTGTAAATTTAAAATAATATATTAGTGATTGAGAAATAAAATAGTGTTTCTCTCATAAAATAGCTTAGACTTTAAGATAAAACGTGGCACCCTTCACTTTTAAGCAAAAATATAAAAAGATAAACAAGTCAAATGTTAGTGGTACTTTCTTTTCGAATTGTCTTTTACAGTATCAAATTCAAGTACTAAATGACCATTTACCAACAATCTAAAATAACAAATGAATACGATTTTATTTTTATTTTATTTTTGGCTAAAAAATGGGTGTTCAGTTTTGCTCAATCTCAAAAATGGGTGTTTGATTACTCTGGCTAACATATTTTGGTGCACTGGTCCATGATATGTACGTTAAAGAAGAGCAAGGAGTTAATCTTTTATATATATATATATATATATATATATATACACAATAAACTAAAAAAGTATTGGAGATTGAAAGCCATTCTTTTTCCGAGAGTCAAGGAATTAGTCGGGATTGGGTGCATTCTTTTTTAAGTAAAATATAAAAGTGTTTCGAGAAGGGAAAAAAAAAAAAAAAAAGAAGTAATAACTAAATTGTGTCAAATGCCGTACCTAACTAGTTAACTAGCCAACTAATCTCTCATGAGGAGTTTGTCTTATAATTGTATATATTAGGAATATATTAGGAACTCACTAGTTACTAAGACCAAAACTGAAAGCGAGCGTATAATTGTCACTAAATTATAAAAAAAAAAAAAAAAAAAAAAATTATTGAAATTAAGTAGATACACGAAAGGACGTAGATTATTATTATTATTATTATTATTATTATTATTATTATTATTATTATTATCTAAAGAGAAAGGACGTAGGATTTTTTTTTGTTTAGAATATAGAAGCTGTTATTATAAACAAAAAAGTGTTTGATACCAGAACAGTTTTTATAGGAGAAGATTTCTCCAACAAAATTAGCTTATCATCTGTAAAGAGTATAAGTAGCTAAAGAATGGATAACCTTGTTATTTGTTTCCCTAAACATATGACATAATTTAGCTCTTAGAAAAGACAATAAGTTAGATACATCTAACAATAACACTCCAAACTCATTACAAAAAGAAGAAAACTCTTCACAGTTTGAATAATTGTTAATGTACTAGACTTTACAAAAACGGAGATTTAGACTTAACAGAATCCAAATATTCTTAAAGATGATGCAACAATCACAAAACCTGAAAGATAAAAATAATCTTGAATAAGTATGGGAATAAACTGATATGCTTGAAAAAATCTAAAATTGAAACAATTGCTCCAATAAAATAGCTTTCCTTTTCTTGAAAATTTTTCTTCAATGACTTACCCACTAAGGGCACTCAATCAAAAGTGTATTGTAACAACAAACATCGGGAAAAAAAAATCCAAATAACTATTGAAACTCTCATAAAATGAGAGACTTTTAACTCTCAAAAAGAGAGATCATCTCATTATATAGACATCTGTAATATTACTATAATTATCAATCAGATGTTTCATATCAATAACAGTCTCGTAAAGTTGTGATATGAGCAATTACAATTAAAAAGAATAAACATATAAGATGGCATAAATTTAAAATGTTATAAATACTAACAAAAAAAAAAAAACAATTACAGTTACAATATCAATATAGCATAAAAATAGAATACTGCTTGTCAGAATAATAACGAATTTCTTTACGGTTAACGTGAATTAAATAATTTAAAACACAATTAAAAGTGGAATTTAAATAAGAATATACATAATTTATAGTGGTTCACCCTCAATTCAATAGCTACGTTCACTGCGTAGACGGAGAGGAGAGAAAATTCAATACTTTGGAAGAGACTACACGCACAACTTAGAAATTTTCTGACTTATCATCCCTTATTTATACTCATAATCACAGCTCATATCCTTTCCTTATCGGTATTTAGGATATTTCTCTTATCTTTTGGGATAATTTTCCAAAAGATAAAGATTACAATCAATGAGGACGGTTTCCTTATTTAAACTTCATATATTTGAATTACAAATAGCAAATCTTGTGACAAATCTCGCGGATCTCATCTCTTGCACAGCCTCAACTTCATAAACGCCACAGAAGCATCTTTGCCTTCAATTGCGGGTACGGTTGACCTCAAGCTTATGTTTAGCGTTTCTTTCCAGCAATCAACCTTAAGAGAGTTGCATGTTGACGTAACGCTTAAGGCTGAGCAACCCTTGATAATTTAGTATTCTCAATTAAGGCATGTGGGCCCCATTGAAAATCTTATTTAGGGCTCGACTTTTTACCCTACAAGACTACTATTTTTCATGGAAGTAGACTCCTATTAAAGAAATATGAATGCTTTGAAGATTAGTTCTGATAATAGAGTATGAGCAATTAATGCTAGATATTATGGTTGCGTTTGACATTACTTTTTGCTCTCAAAATCAGCTTATGTTTGTAGCAAAAGCTGATTTTAGTGTTTGATAAATCTCTTCAAAAGTGCTTTTTGAAATAATTTTGAAAAATCTACACTTAAAATCAGAAGCAGCCTAAAAGCAACTTTAACTTTTAGATTGTGCAGGAATCAACATAGTACAATTAATAAAACTTTCATAATACACATAATACCTCTAATTAAATTTAAAATTTACAATATTCCCAATTTAAAATTCAAACTCGTAATATAATATAATAATACAATAATATAATATAATATAATATAATGTAATAGTAATATTGTAACAAATAATATCATAATTATATTAGTAAGTCTAATATTATTATTTTATTTATGATATTATAATTATAATATCATAAATAAAATAATAATATTAGACTTACTAATATAATTATGATATATAATATAATATATATATAATTACAATATAATGTATATTTATTATGATATTTAATATAATACAATAAAACTATTATTAAATAACATATTATATAATTATGATATATAATATAATATATATATAATTACAATATAATGTATATTTATTATGATATTTAATATAATACAATAAAACTATTATTAAATAACATATTATATAATTATGATATATAATATAATATATATATAATTACAATATAATGTATATTTATTATGATATTTAATATAATACAATAAAACTATTATTAAATAACATATTATATAATTATGATATATAATATAATATATATATAATTACAATATAATGTATATTTATTATGATATTTAATATAATACAATAAAACTATTATTAAATAACATATTATATAATTATGATATATAATATAATATATATATAATTACAATATAATGTATATTTATTATGATATTTAATATAATACAATAAAACTATTATTAAATAACATATTATATAATTATGATATATAATATAATATATATATAATTACAATATAATGTATATTTATTATGATATTTAATATAATACAATAAAACTATTATTAAATAACATATTATATAATTATGATATATAATATAATATATATATAATTACAATATAATGTATATTTATTATGATATTTAATATAATACAATAAAACTATTATTAAATAACATATTATATAATTATGATATATAATATAATATATATATAATTACAATATAATGTATATTTATTATGATATTTAATATAATACAATAAAACTATTATTAAATAACATATTATATAATTATAATATGATATTATAATTATAATATCATATTATAATTATATAATATGTTATTTAATAATAGTTTTATTGTATTATATTAAATATAATAATAAATATTTATTACATTGTAATTATATATATTAAATTATAGTATAATATAATATAGTCACAATTTTTAACTATTCACAGTAATTCAACTTCATAATTTACTAAATACTATTACACTGATTTTGAAACCAGCACAACTGTTATGATTATAGTTTACCAAATACTCAACTGCTTTTTATAACAATTATTTTTTCTTTCAACACAGTTAAAAGTAATTTTTCTAAAATCTACAACAATACTAAACTAAGCCTATGTATAGCTATAAGAATCGGTTGAATTTTTAAAAGTGAGAAAATAAATTCGCAAAAATTGAGTTTTATAATTAAGGAAACACAAAAGATGGGAAGGCAGCAGTTAATGAAGTCAAGTTGGATAGTGTGTGAGATAATAGTTCAACGTGGTCTTGGGACAATTTGAGTAATTGGCAGTTGTAGCAGTAGTTCAGAAATTTTGAAATTTGAAAGAAAAAACCGTCAGGAGAACTGCTACCTGATGGTTAATAACTGCTTCTGTTTGAACAAAACTTTAATGGAATGAATTGGTGAAGGAGAAATAAGGTTTGGACAAGATTGATTCAGCAAGGATGATTTGAGACGTCCCTCCCCATGAAACAATGTTAGGAAAAGATACAAAAACAAAGTATCCACCACAACTGCATAACACAGTTTATTGTAATAGTAATGATTTGTAAAAATCAATTAATATGGAAGTATAAACATATATGAATCGTTGAATAAAATAAGATGATTGTAATATAAAGAGTCAAACAGAAAAATGCAGAATGTAAATAATGAAATAATGAGATATTTTGGAGAAACAAGAAAAAACACAGCAATTAACAGATAAGAAAAAAAGATAGCGCAGAAAATTAACCAACAAAAATTGCTCAAAAAAATCTATCATAACAAGATGTCTGCATATATATTACTTTACCCAAAGTCGTGTTGGGAATGTTGCGGTAGCCATTCCTAGAGATTTGAAGGCGTCAAGAATCTCGCTTCTTTCGTGCTTCTTCTTTGTGGGGAAACAGTTGAAAACTACTTTTATGACAGATTCTCAAAGATGAAATCAGAAAACGTTGCAATCATTCGTTCCGCAGAATTGATCCAGAAACAGTTTGCTAAGAATTGTGAGATTTTCAGGGGAAAAATGCGCGGGAAATTGGCAATGAAATTAGATTAGGATGGGAATTTCTGTTTATTTCACCGATTTGAGTTTAGAATTCAAATTTTGTTATAATAAAAAACTCTTAAGAACAGTCACATCTAACTTTTTGCTACAGTACAAAACTCTCAACTTAAATTAAAAACTCGAATCAGCGAACTAAACGGGCCCGCAGAGATGATCAAAATAAGGTTGGATCAACAAAATATCTAGATCATATTATTTTGATAATTATTTTTGATATTATGTCTATTATAGAACTTGTGGAAAACGTCAGTCTAATTATATATTCTTTTTTTTTTGTTGCTAAAATTGATATTCTATTGTAGCTAAAGAAAGATTATAATATGCGCACGTTATAATAGTATATATGACTGTTGATTGTTACCACCCCTAAATATTAATATTGTAATGCTTTGTTTGTTTGTTTTTTTAAAGAAATTAATGAAGGTAATCATGTTACATTACGTAATATTAAGTGTTCTATAAAAAATCATATATCGGGTGTAAAGTGTTCTTTACAACACTTGCATCAACGACGATAATATCATTATCGAACCTAACGTGCAAAAAAGGTCTGTTACATAACAACCACGGACGTAGGATTTTGATAGAAAGAAAGAGTAGAGTGTTCTATTCAAGAAATGTTGTGAAAAAAATTGCTTAATTCTTTGAGTTAATTACATATATGTCTATTTTACAATGAATGAAAAAACAAGTCTACAAATTATTATATTACATATAAATTTGTAAAATAATCCTAATGATATTCTATCCTTAATTAATTATTTTTTAAAATTAGTTATATAAATTTATAACAAACCAAATAAAAAAGGGTATATTTGAAATTACTATAAAATGAACAGATTAATAATATTGTTAAATTAAAGACATATCCGATATATTGCAAGGTAACAATATAGGGCCCGTTTGATAACGTTTTCAAAATAATTTTATTTTCAGTTCAAAAGTAAAAATGAAATTATTTTGAGAATCATTTTGAAACTGATTCTGAAATTACGTTTGGTTAATTTTTTAACAAATTGTTATGAGTATAATAAAAAGGTAAAACCGAGTTTGATTATAATTATTAATTAATGTATTATAACATTATTAATAAATACTAGAAAATAAAAATAAAAAAGAAAAAATAACTTTTAACTGTTTTTTAATTTATTTATAAAAATTATTTTCACATTTTTTTTCATTTTTTATTTTTCAATATTTACTAAATAAACAACTGTTTTGATTTTTACATCTCAAAAAGACGTAAAGAAATGTTTTAAAAAACAATATGAAGCCAATTCCAAACTTATCCATAATTTCGCGTAAATACTTCTAATTTCTTGTAGGCTTCGACTGTGATCCGGCCTGCTGTCTCCATTGGGCCTATATTTCTCGAGGCAGAAATTACGATCCTAACTGAAAGGGCCCAATTAAGACCAGACGAGGATGACGAAAGCCATTAGTCAATTATAACGCCAACCTACGACCAAAAACGAAATCCGAGTTCAGAATATTCGAATTTTAGGGCTCCTGAAACCTTTCGGACCCGATAAAATCCGACAAAAGTTGGAACAATTTCGGCTCGAATCTTCCCCCAAATTCATTGCAAAATTCCATTTAGGTAATTTATGTTGTCAATTCTTCCTAATTTTCCCTTCCTATTTTCGTATCTGTTTTGTTTTCTTTCGCATTATCGTTGAAATCCGATTTAGTTTCGTCGAATTCACAATTCTGTGGTTCAATTGAATTTCCAATTATCAGTTTTTGAGGTTCTTGATTGTTATAGGAGCGTTCGAAGATCCGAAGCACCAAAATGAAGTTCCTAGAATACACGCCCTTAGAGCGGTAATTTCCCAGTAATTTCGTAGTTTATTCTTCAAAAAAAAAAAAGAAAAAAAGAAAAAAGTTGAGCGTCTGTTTCTTGGAGTTTATATTTCTAATTAATCTTTTATTTTTCAGAATAAATGTTTTTCTTAGCCGTTTAAATCTTGGAGAGCGTACCATCAAAGGCTGCCTTGAAGCTTATTCTTGTGAGTTGGAATTTTTTGTTGACTAGAAAGAAAGATGTTTCTTTTTGTTGGGTTTTATTTTTTTTTTTATTTTTTATTTTTATTTTTTATTTTTATAAATATTATATACTGTGTTAATGTATTTGTTTAGGCAAACACACGGGAACTGATAAGAAGTTGTCTCTCAGTTTGGAAAACGAGGTAAAATAAGGCTTTTATGGCATACCATTTACTGTTTGACTTATTTTTAATTCTTTGCAGTTAATATTTTGCAAAATTTGAATATGAGTCAATAATATGTATATCTATGAAAAAATTATGATAATTCAAGTTTATGTTGGGTGGTTGTTTTCTGTACATCCAATCTCAAACATCCCTGATCATTTACGTGTATATAATGCATATATGAATTTTTGGTTCGTCATATTTCCGTTTTTATATGTTATATATATATATATATTAATATATCTTATCTGTTTGTTGCCTCAGATCCTTGATTATCTTGGGAAATCTTCAGATACAGACTCTTGTTCGCCAGCTGAATTGCTTCTGAGCAGATCAAGGTGGTGATTGGTTAGTTGGATTGAATTTGAAAATGCAGGTTGTCTCTCATGTTTCTTTAACTAGTTTTCTTAACATGCATTACAGCCGGAAGACATTGGTCTACCTGGTTCTCACACTTTATCATATGTATCCGGATTATGACTTCAGGTATTTGTATCTTATTTTGTATTAAGCACACATTTGTTTTAAATCGGATTGAAAAAGGAGGGTCACGGGTAATGCCACTGTCAGCTTTTTGGGCGACGTTGCAACCCACTTTGTGGTCCTCTTTTTGCTTTTACTGGGAGTGTTGTCAAGAGGTTTGACAGACAGTTTGGAACCTGTCGCTCTTAGAGGAGCTGAGAGTTCAAATCTCTCCATTTCCCAAAGTTGAATTTTTGCCATTTCGGTAATTGGTTTTTGTTAAACTCTTGGTACTATTATATGATGAGACGGGTACTGGTTACATTGTCATGAATTAATGAATTATTTGTTTTTGTTATTTTTAATGGCTTCTTTATGTTTTCAATGACTGCGGTTTTTACAGTGCTATGAATGCTCATCAGTTCTTCTCAGAGGAAACCTGGGATGGGTTTGAGCAGATTTTTGATACCTATATGTTTGAATCATCGAAGGTATTTTGTAGCTTTTCTTGTTTTGTTGTATGATCTATGCTCCTTTCTATACACTACATGGATATGCAGTCATCTTTATCTACTGGGACCTGTGAGGGGAATCTTGAAAAAAGAATTAGAAAATGAAAAAGGACCTCCATATGAGCAGATCAGAGTTTGAGGGGCAATTATTCCATGATGCTGACCGGTGGTTTTTTTTTTTTGGTTAAATTTATATTATGCATTCTTACGTAGTGTTGTTGTTTTTTTTTTTTTTTTGATACCCAGAAAGCTCCCAAGCCCACTTTGTGAGCCTTAAATACAAATCAATTTATATTATGCATTCTTAAGTGCTGTTCTTTCTTTCTTTTCTTTTCTTTTCTTTTTTTTTTTATTAAATACAAATCAATTATGTTCTATCTACCAAACTTCTGGATGTGGAAATTAGCTATGAGCAGAGAGAAAATTTGTCGTGCATTTGGTATGAGAATTTTTGTATTCGCCCATTCCTGTTGTAGACTTGACATGTTGATTTCACGGAAGGATTTTCTCTTCTTTATTTTCATTTCATCGCTTCTCCCTCCCTCCCTCCCTCCCTCCCTCCCTCTACTGTGTATGCTGTGGTTTGATTTTGAGCAGAGCTATTTTGCTCTGTGCAGAGCCAACTCCGCATCTCTCACGTGTGGCGCCACACCACCTCTGTTGTCATGCGAAGTTGGCTCTGCACTGAGCCAAGCAGCATTTTTGTTTCAATTTTGGTCATCATCGTGGGTTCCTGTCTCTTGATTTGGTTAATGCGCACTGAGCATTAAGTTTTGGTTTCTTGGAATCTTTCAGGAATGGACCGAGACAAATGAGGGTGGCTCTCTTTTTGAGACTTTGTACAAGGCTCTGGACGAGGTGAAATTATTTTACAGAAAGTAAATGGTAGAGTGATAAAAGGAGCAAAATTTATGATACCTTGTTATGCAGGTAGTGAAATTGGCAGACTGTGAAATATACTCTTACAGTCCAGACTCGGATGGAGATCCATTTCTTGAAAGAGGAGCCATGTGAGTTTCTATATCATCATCACATTGCGCAGGATTGTTTTCTCTCTAGTCATATAATCAGCGCTCATGACTTTTATTCCTCTGTTTTCTTCAGATGGTCATTCAATTTCTTCTTCTATAATAGAAAACTAAAGCGTGTTGTGAGTTGCTGTTTCTGCTGTTTAAGGTAATTCAAAGCATTAAGCTGCTTGAAACTCGGAGCTTTTCAGTTAATAAATAAGGGTTCCTTTTCGGCTAACCCGTTCTCTATATGTCAGTAATGTGGTGGCAGATGGATTTCTCACGGATGATCTACGATATGAGGAAGATGGAGAAATATTTGATGTTATGGACATGTAAGGATTACATGTTGTAAGTGCTGCTATATGATAATATGTCAAAAATCTTGACATACATTCGTAGCTGTGTAACTTTTTAGGCTTGTACGTTTATGACACCGAGTAGTAGTAGGTTTAGGTCATGACTCTCTTACGTATATGGTTTCTAGTCCCCTGTAGATACGAGTGATGCTATGTACAGGAACTCGTCTGTATGCACGTTCCAAGTTGATACGTGTCATTTTCTGTATGACTTTCTGAACTTTACAAGAATCTAAAGCGCCTTCACAAATTCAGTTCTGGTAAAAAGAGCATCAGTTGATTGTTTCGTTCTTGCTGTCAAACGTTTGTTCCACTCCCAAGAACTGGGAGCATCCTGATGTTTCACTTTATTTTGTCTGAATCATTTATTGAATAGAAAAAATCATTATGTTAATATGGTCTCTTATTTTTATTTATTTATTGGTAGAAATTGCTATAAGCAGAGCAAACAAAACTAGTCTGTTTTATGGGAAATGAGTTTTCTTCAATGTTGAGTTGGTCGCTGGAACGTTTGGTTCCAACTTCCAATCATAATCATGCGTGCACAATCTTTGCTAGGCAATGAAATAATCGTAAAGGACAATTACATTGGTTGAGTTTAAAGCTCTTCGGTTCTTGGGAAGATTTAGTAACATAATAAAATAAGAATGAATAAATAATGAACGACAAAAAATCTAGAGGGCAAAGAGAGATCAGTTTAATTTGGATTCATTTTAAAACATTTCATGAATTTAAACCAAGCATTGTTTTTCAAGTAGTTTGTGTAAATTGGTTGCTGTTAACCTAAAACAATTATACAAATTCGAGTAAAATACCATTTAGGCAATGCGGTGGTGCGAGGGCTTTGTTTCCTCTCCTAATGAGCAAGGGCCACATAAGATTACAACTATTTCCTCATCTTAAACAAGATAATAAACAAATATATACGCACAAATACACACTAATAGCAAGACCGTAGTAAATAAATTAAGGAGGAATAAGCCTAATTAATTCAAAGTATAATTGTTCACCCAAACATAACTTCAGAAAAAAAGGGGACAAAAAAAAGATTAATTACAAAAATGCTCTATAAATTATATCCCTAGTAACACTTTGTGTTTTAAAGATGGAAGCAAAATGTTACAAGGTGTATAGTTCAGAGGGTAAATGAGAGTAAATGGTATAATTAATGGGAAATTTTTGTAATTAATCTAAAAAAAATCATAAATATGATTGTTCAAAAAACACAAAAATCACATAACAAATAGCTGCCGCAGAACTAAAGAGTCCCATCATGACATGATCTTGTCAGCACCAATCTTTCTTCTCTTGATTGACACTAGACTCTCGTAATATAAATAAGCATCACATGCTCCTGGTATCCCCTTTCCATGAATGGAAAGTTTTCGCAAGTTTTGGCTGTTAAGGTTATACGACACAAATACTCCATCTCTAGTTTGGATTAACAACTCATCATCTTTCCAAAATGCAAGAGGATAATTGATGCTTGGTCCAATAAGCACCGACAAAGTTGTCAACCATCAACTGCATCTCAAAAGATCTTGAACGCCATAAGTCTCTAGTAGAGATGAAAAAGACGACCGAGTCCTTCCATATAGCAAGTTTCCACCTTGTGAGTTTTTGAATTTGGACCTCTTCTGGTAATTGTATTAAATGAAATTCCTCCTCAGAAAAGTCAAATGAAAGAGACTCTTGTAACAAAACAAAAGCTCTAGATATATTTAAATCTTCTTTGTAACAAAACAATTTAAGACACTTGTAGTCATCAATTTTCGGATCATACCCGAATCCAGATCCTGCAATGATGAACTCAGGGTCAACACGCGGTGTGCGGAGAAGTTGGGGTGCGTTTGGAATTGGTTCCAAAACATTTTTGTTTTTTGTATGAAAATGAAAACGAAAACATTTTTATTTTCATTTTAAAATCATTTCTGAAAATGCGTTTGGTAGTTTTATTCTGAGATTATTTTCAGTTTAAAAAAAACTGAAATTGTGTTTGGTGATTTAATTTTTAAATATATGTAATAATATTTAAATTAATAATATATTAAATAAATAGTAACCCTTAGTTAATAATTATATAAAAAAATACCCTTAGTTAATACAGTCTAAACCCTAATTTGTTGTCACTCTCAATCCGCTTCTCTCTCTCATCTCATCTCGTCGCTCTCTCTCTACCCTCCTTGTCTTCGTCCCACTTTCTCTGGTTTCCTCTCTCTCTGCCGTGTCGTGGCTAAAGAAGGCACGCGATCTGACTGGATATCCCGGTAGATCCGATGCCGTTCATCTCGCTCGTCTTAGATTGAGGACGCTGTGGAGAGCCGGTGCCATTGGTGGATCTCGCCGAGTTCGAGATCCGTGAGGATCGACGTTTAATCCTTCACCGGCGTCAACCGTGGATTCTGCGAGATCTCCCTCCTCTCTTCTCTTTCCGCCCCCTTTCTCTACTGTCGCCATGTTTGGACAAGATGTTGTCGCTACGATAGACGCAATCATCGTCATCGTTCGCTTCGTCACCATGAGATCGTGGCGGATCCAAGATCTCAGATCCTAGCTCATGTGTGATCTCTCTTGCTCGTCCCTCGCCGCCATGGATGCAGCTCCGCGTCTGGTTCCGGTTCCATGCGGTGAGAGCATCGGATTTGGGTTTGCTAGATTTTTCCTTGAGTCAAACAAAGTCATGCGTGTTCTAGGTCGATCTGTTGCCGATGAGATCAAATTTGGCCTTTACAGTCTCAGAAGTTTGGAAATGAAAACAAGAAATATGAAAACGGAAAAAATTCATTTTCAGAAAGATGAGAAAAAAAGAGAAAATGAAAACGGGTGTTTTCAGTTTTGATTTTAGAAAATTTTACACCAAACGCGTTTTCTATTTTTTTTCTCGAAAATTGTGAAAAATAAAAACGAGACCGGAAACAAACAGGCCCTTGAATTCCCCGAGTTCCGGATTTTGCAGAAAACAAATGTCTCTTTATTCCTAAAGGAATGACAATCATAGAAGCAAATAATGTCGTCGTAGTGAGAGCCTATAAAAACTTTTTGGAAAATCCGCTTTCTCCTTCTTCGGAACAGGTGGTAAATTGATTTCTTCAATAACAAAAGAAAGGTCATCACTGTTACCCCCCACCCTTGGCATGGATCGTAACCACGGACAATACTTGTTTTTTATTTAATGATCCTTTTTTGGGGAAACCAATTCAAACACAAGGTTGTGGAGGATGAATGTTTTTTTTTACTTATACTGTCTTGGAGTTGCTTGTTTATGAATGACTGATCATTGATCATAGTGTGCCACAACTTGCAAACGCGTTTGCTAGATTTTTCTTTTTTTGTTCTGTTTTAAGGATTAGAATAGAAAATTTTTATTATCAAAAGAAAAACGAAAAATAGAAAAGGAGACAACTTTAAATTTCAAGTATACATGAATTTAAGCTTTTATTTATTTATTCATTTATTTTTGAAGGGGCATAGTTTGTATTTTTTTTTTCCCCCTTATAACGGAGTAACAGACTTAATTGAAAATACATGCTTTCAAAATTTGTACAACAAAAGGGTTAATCCTATTGTTAGAATGTAAGTTCTCTTGACTTTTTTCTTGGTATATTACTCTTTCAACATTTATATTTCTGGTAGTTATTGTTTTTAACATTAAAATCAATGAGGGCCCAAAGAAAGCAAAAGGAAGAAAAGCAAAAAAAGAAAAAAAAGAAAAAGCAAAAAAGAAAAAACGAAGGACTTAAATGATAAAAAGATTAAAAAAAGGTGATAGGAAAAAAAAACGGTTGAAAGTAGTAGAAAAATGAGGAGGGAAAGAAGGAAGGCGCAAAAGATGTCGGACTAAAAATTAAGGAGTTTCTCTAGTAGGCCTACCTATCGACAGTCTCAGTTTTTAACATTTAGAGCTTGTCAAAATCATATTAGATTAAAAAAATATGCATAATAGACATATTTTGATATAGATCTGTTGGCTGAAACTATAAGAGAAACTCCCTAAAAACTAATGTAGAAAACACAAAACTGGAAAAAAAGAAACACACACAAAGAGGAGATCCATTAAGAAGAGATTCTTTTTTATATATTTGTTGAAAATTATTTATTGGGTACATATAAAAGAAAATGTATTTGAAATAGCTTCTTAAAAGAAATTACGTAGGGACATAAATGGAAAAACAATTATTACAATAGGATAATTAAGTAAACAAATATCTATGAGGATCATATTTGAAAGAAGGGAAAAAATGTATAATAGGGCAAAAAAAGATTAGACTCAATAAGGGGGAAACAAAGAAGAAGAAAAAAAAAGAAAGCAAAAGGACTCACAATTGTTAATAATAATAATAATACTAATAAAACGTAAAAAAAAAAAAAAAGATAAAGAGGGTGTTTGGTATGAGGATTCGTGTCATGGTTCGAATCATGATTTGTAGCTCGCTACAGTGTTTTCTCTTATAAAAAATACACGCAAACTAATAATAGTTCTGAATCTGTAAATCAAACGTCCACAAAATGTTTCGTCCCAATCATTAAGGGATGAAATGTTAGTTGGGATGAAACCTTTCGTCCCTTTGGACGAAACTTGAAGTGCCTAGTTTCGATCAAGAGAAGAAAGAGTTGCCATGATTGGGTTAAGTCGCACATATTTAAATTTATAGAGAGGAAACATGCTTAAACTGACGACTCTCTTTGGTATTTTCTGTGGTAGCTATCTTTGTATGATTTTCTTTTTTTTAGCGAATTATCATGTTTATGACTTTTCTTTTTCTTTTTCTTTTTTCAGTAGTTATGTTTGAATGGAGAATAATAATAAATTTATGTGTATTCCTCAATCTATGCACTACTACTACAAGTCTTTGCTAAAATGTATATTTGTGCTTGTATATTCTTCGATTGCTTGTTTAAGAATGAAGCATACTTGGCCCTTTCAGGCTGTCCGTTGCCAAATAATGAATTGCCATCTGGTTCTTCCCCATGTTTTCATCACAATCATACAATCTTGTCAGTTCTAATCTTCCTCACTCTGATGAGTAAAAACTACATGATTAGTGTAATGTGCTTGTGATTTCCAGTATCATCATTGCCTCCTAACTTTAGAAACCTTCCAATGTTCTTTGAGAATTTCTTGTAGTCCTGCAATCAAGTTCAAGTGTTCTCGGAATTATAAAAGGGAAAGAAAGTTTTGAAATTTAAAAAGAAAATGATGAGCAGGAAAAAGTCCGTTTTTTTTTTCAAAAAGTTTTGACATTTAAAAACAGTTTTTAGAAAACCGTCGTTAAATGTTTACATTAGACGACGATTTTTAAAAAATTGTCATTAGTATATAACATTTAATGACTATTTTTAAGGAACCGTCGTTAAATGTATCGTACAATTTCGTTCCGTGTTTTTTTAGCACATTAGATGATATTTTCTCTTAAAACATCGTTAAATAATCGCGTTTAATGGAGAATTTATTGTAGTGAAAAGGTCTTTATCTATGAAAATTCCATTTATAACTTTCTTCAATTACCTTTCGTGAGAAAAAAATCCCACAAAATAGCGGAAATTCTTGGAGCTTTCTTATTAACAATAAAATTCACTTTCATTTACAAGAAAAAAAAAAAAAGGGAAAAAGAGGCTAATGTCAGTTTAAGAGTTAAGAAGGCGTCCCAGTATTCAAACGAAATTTCTGGCAATATTCATGGCGGTAGAAATAATGAGATTGAGGAAAAATTTGAACCTAATTGGAATGTGGGTCGTCACCTCAAATTGTAATTTAACGTTCAGTTTCAGGCGTTGAGGGAAAAAGGGCACTGATCAGACTTTTAATTAAGTCAATTAGAATTTAGGAGCTTAGGTACGATAAGTCAACCTTCTAAATTAAATATCATTTTTAAGGAATAATATATATTAACATCAATAAAGATAAAATACAAATAAATTATCATGATATCCCGATACTTTATGAAAATATATTATGTATCAATGATAATACCGGAAATTAATAATGATTTACTTCTTTAATAACTTCTGGCTAGGAAGGGCACAAATCGCAAAATTTGGTATGAAAATATAATCTTCTTTCTTTTTCTTTTTTTTCAAAATTAGGTAGGAAAATATATTTAATATTTTTTAAAGTAAAATTTATTAAAAAAAATGCTACCTGTCACTGATTCTGTTTTATCACTTTACTGTTTGATACGGGGGTTATAACAAAAGAAAAAGAACATAAATTCTGAGGGACTGATGGCTTGCTTGTAGCTCTGAAAGTGCATGCCCAACTGTCCACACAAAAGTATATACGCAATAAAAAAAGATTAATGTACCAGGTAAATCCTTCTTTTATGTCCCTGATCTGTTTAAACCCCATGATCTCCTTTTTCTGAGAAAATTCTTAGCCCCTTGCCAAAAATTCAGTTGTATCTATATACATGCGTATACACACGCATATAGAGAATATATATATATATATATATATACATATATGTATATTGAATACGCGCATATACAATAATATATTGGTTTATTATGCATATATAGTCCAGAATCAATGTCCAGCCGCATTTTTTTACTTAGGAAAATGAACAGTACCGGCCACGTGCCATGGAAGCTCACTTTCGTATTACTTTTCTTTAATTTGTATATTAGTTTCCAGGAAAATTTCGAATCACCCTGTTGGACCAAGAAAATTCCAACAATTTCATTGGCTACTTTGACCCCACACGGCATCTTAATTCACAAGATTTCTTTAAATTTCCTTCTGCACCATTTAATTTTTGCGCAATTACAGATCAATTATACTAATTGACAATCTAATTGATCACTTTTGCATGACCAAAACAATAATAAAAATCCATCATACAATTTTACTTGTGATATAATAAATTGGTAATTGCCACCACAGTCACAAATTGAATGATTTTCCCTTAATTTACAGATAAATTAACTATACTTTTTTTCTCTGATAATTGATAATATATATATATATATATATATATCATGAGAAGAAGTGTTCTCGGAATTATAAAAGGGAAAGAAAGTTTTGAAATTTAAAAAGAAAATGATGAGCAGGAAAAAGTCCGTTTTTTTTTTCAAAAAGTTTTGACATTTAAAAACAGTTTTTAGAAAACCGTCGTTAAATGTTTACATTAGACGACGATTTTTAAAAAATTGTCATTAGTATATAACATTTAATGACTATTTTTAAGGAACCGTCGTTAAATGTATCGTACAATTTCGTTCCGTGTTTTTTTAGCACATTAGATGATATTTTCTCTTAAAACATCGTTAAATAATCGCGTTTAATGGAGAATTTATTGTAGTGAAAAGGTCTTTATCTATGAAAATTCCATTTATAACTTTCTTCAATTACCTTTCGTGAGAAAAAAATCCCACAAAATAGCGGAAATTCTTGGAGCTTTCTTATTAACAATAAAATTCACTTTCATTTACAAGAAAAAAAAAAAAAGGGAAAAAGAGGCTAATGTCAGTTTAAGAGTTAAGAAGGCGTCCCAGTATTCAAACGAAATTTCTGGCAATATTCATGGCGGTAGAAATAATGAGATTGAGGAAAAATTTGAACCTAATTGGAATGTGGGTCGTCACCTCAAATTGTAATTTAACGTTCAGTTTCAGGCGTTGAGGGAAAAAGGGCACTGATCAGACTTTTAATTAAGTCAATTAGAATTTAGGAGCTTAGGTACGATAAGTCAACCTTCTAAATTAAATATCATTTTTAAGGAATAATATATATTAACATCAATAAAGATAAAATACAAATAAATTATCATGATATCCCGATACTTTATGAAAATATATTATGTATCAATGATAATACCGGAAATTAATAATGATTTACTTCTTTAATAACTTCTGGCTAGGAAGGGCACAAATCGCAAAATTTGGTATGAAAATATAATCTTCTTTCTTTTTCTTTTTTTTCAAAATTAGGTAGGAAAATATATTTAATATTTTTTAAAGTAAAATTTATTAAAAAAAATGCTACCTGTCACTGATTCTGTTTTATCACTTTACTGTTTGATACGGGGGTTATAACAAAAGAAAAAGAACATAAATTCTGAGGGACTGATGGCTTGCTTGTAGCTCTGAAAGTGCATGCCCAACTGTCCACACAAAAGTATATACGCAATAAAAAAAGATTAATGTACCAGGTAAATCCTTCTTTTATGTCCCTGATCTGTTTAAACCCCATGATCTCCTTTTTCTGAGAAAATTCTTAGCCCCTTGCCAAAAATTCAGTTGTATCTATATACATGCGTATACACACGCATATAGAGAATATATATATATATATATATATACATATATGTATATTGAATACGCGCATATACAATAATATATTGGTTTATTATGCATATATAGTCCAGAATCAATGTCCAGCCGCATTTTTTTACTTAGGAAAATGAACAGTACCGGCCACGTGCCATGGAAGCTCACTTTCGTATTACTTTTCTTTAATTTGTATATTAGTTTCCAGGAAAATTTCGAATCACCCTGTTGGACCAAGAAAATTCCAACAATTTCATTGGCTACTTTGACCCCACACGGCATCTTAATTCACAAGATTTCTTTAAATTTCCTTCTGCACCATTTAATTTTTGCGCAATTACAGATCAATTATACTAATTGACAATCTAATTGATCACTTTTGCATGACCAAAACAATAATAAAAATCCATCATACAATTTTACTTGTGATATAATAAATTGGTAATTGCCACCACAGTCACAAATTGAATGATTTTCCCTTAATTTACAGATAAATTAACTATACTTTTTTTCTCTGATAATTGATAATATATATATATATATATATATATATCATGAGAAGAAGAAAAATGGCTGCCCTTTGATTATATCATAAGAGTAGTACACAAAAATCTCTATCTCAAATAAATTGGCTCCTCTTTTATGGTCTCCAACATAGGCTTCCTGGACCTGCATGCAGCTAATCTGTACTTGAACTCCGGCAAAACCAGCTCAAAACCCTCATGAACTCCATCCAAACTCGACGTTGACCCTTTAACGTCCCGTTGACCACTTTGATCATGATCACCACGCGAATTAGCTTGATCAAAATCAACGGCCGTCGACAATTCTCTTGTATTATTGCTGACGCCGGAGTCCGGCAAGATCCTGACCTTCCCTCCGGAAATCCGCTTAGCCGCCGAGTTGGCCGCCATGAAGAACATCGCCAAGTCGGCGGCGGTGATGACTGAATTCACTCTCCTCATCGGAAACATGACGTAGACGTTCCCAAATTCGAGCTCCTCGTCGGCCGAGAGCGCGGAGAATCTCCGGCCAATGTGTAGAGCCCCCGAGTTAGCCAAGAAGAAATTCGGAAGCTCCAGCATGAGCTCCGCTGCCTTGACGGTCTCGCGGAACTGCCGGACCTCGCCGCCCGGGAAGATCACTCTAACCGCCTTGGAGTTCTTCATGAGAGGAGCTGCCAAAGTGCATGACACATAGTTTCCCATGTTGTTCACGTTGAAATATGAAATACCTAATTACTAGTTAGGTTTTTGACAGAAACAAAGATGAAAAAAAAAGAGAAACTTTTTTTTTCTTTCTTTTCCTTGGAGAGGTTCAAAATGGTTATGGGTTTGGTTTGCTTTGAGGAAAATGTGTATGGGATATATAGTAGTGTATATAGACAGAGAGAGAGAGAGAGAGAGAGAGAGTCAATGAAAGCCGGAATTTTCTACACATAAAAAAATGATTATAATAACATTACATCATGTGCGTGTGAGGGAGTTAAAAAGAGAGTTATGGAAGTTGTGTGGTATATATTTTCACTATTTCTTGTGGGGTTGGTTCGTTTGGCGTCTTTTTGTTTTATTTTGAAAGAGGAAAATTATAAATATGGAATGCGCGTTATTTGGGTTCGAAAAATTAAAAAGAAAAACAAAAAGTGAGGAAAAGAAATTGCATCACATGTGTTTGATGTCTGTTTGTCATCGCGAGTTTTCGTTGTAAATGCGTGTGGGACCCACCTGATGACTCTTTCTTTTCTTCCAGCTATTGTGTGTCTGCTTGAAGGCTTAGAAGTTAGAAAGTTGGTATTTTTCCCAGATGAATTAAGGAAAAAGATACGAAACAGTTTCGCCAACAGTTTTGAATCTGATGTCAAAAACTTTCCTGTTTCGTTGCTGCTTTCTGGGACAAGTGGGGCTTTATATTTTTGATGTGATGTGACCCTTTTTATGATCAACTTGTTAGGTGTTTTATTATCGTGGACTTATGATGGTTTCTAATTTGTCTTAATTTGTAATATTGCTTGGCCGGTTGGCTTTGCTTTCGTATCTGTTTCTCCCTATGATTATATATTGGACCCAAAAGACTAAACAATTATTTAGATATGCATGTTCACATTTTACATTAGGGCATGTTTAAAATTCCATGTTCAAACATGTTCACATTGATTTTTTATTTAGGGTATTTGGTTATGTTAGTCTCTGAAATTTAAGCATAGTGACAATTTGGTCTCTAAACTTTTAATTTTAACATATTTAATCCCTGAAATTTTATTTTTAACAGTTTTAGTCCCTGATAATAAAATTGACGACCGATTTTTTAAATTGAATAAAGATAAATATGTGTCCATCACGTGGTAATTTAAAATTTTATAGAAAGAGTTATAATGTATGAAATTTTTTCTCCTTGTTACTATTAAAACAATAGCATTTTGATTCTCAAAATAAAAAAAATAAAAAAGCAATAGCATTTTACATACTGTAACTATTATGTAAAATTTCATGTTATTATGATGTGATTGTTTAGCTAAATTTCAGAAATTGTTTGTCAGTTAGGGATCAAATTGTTAAAAGCGAAAGTTTAGGACTAAATATATTAAAATTAAAAGTTTATAGATTTTTCACTATGCTCAATCAAGTTTATTTATTGTACATCTGCGTATTTATGATCTCAACTAGTTTTCAGAGTTATATGTAGTTGGATTAATCAAGACAAGTGCAAAGAGACAACAAATCTTACTGTTAATTAAATCAAGACAAGTGCAAAGAGACAACAAATCTTACTGTTAATTAAATCAAGACAAGTGCAAAGAGACAACAAATCTTACTGTTAATTAAATCAAGACAAGTGCAAAGAGACAACAAATCTTACTGTTAATTAAATCAATGCTTCGAAATATTTTATTATCATATTACACTTGTTTTCACATCCAAATTAATATTAAACAACTTCTATTTGTTTATTTAATTATTACTGTTTAATTTGACAGTGTTTACTTGCCGAATATATTGGTGTTATATATCTGTTTATTTTGGTGTGCTATACCTATCTAACTTCGCTTTCTTTTGTGTCCAATTTGCTGCAAAAACCAGTTTTAATTACTTACTTAGAACTCCAATTAGCATAATTAGTGATGTTGATCATATTTCTCAAGTTGAGAGTTCAGGCGAAGTTTAGCCGTACAGTACATATGCACGTGTATATACTTTTGTATATATGCCCCTACTATAAAGTGGAATATATATTTGCAAATTTGTTGTTAGATACAATATACAATCCACATATGTATATATATACACATACAAACAATTTGATGTTTTTGTCGGTGGGCTTCACACATGCCAAATTTCCACACAGCTATCTTATAATGTTATGTATGCCCATAATTCAAGACAGCTTTGAAACGAGTACGTCTGGATTTCAAATAAAATGTACGGTTGTAGGACGGGTACCTTATCCTATAATTATAAACAATAATATCACTAAGGTCCACTTAACAAAAAGAAACAGTAACAATGGTCCAAAAAATTTAGTGCACGTCCTTTCTTTAGGTGGCTTTATTGGCCGAAATTTGAGCTAAAAACTCTAGTTTTGACGATTTGAACAACCGACCAATATGGTTTACCCAAGCAATCATCAAATTTATGGTGCACCCACGTACTAGTACAATGTCCTAATCATATTTTACTTTGGTCATATATTCAACAGAGTTTGCAGGATTAGGTTTAGGATTTGGTTGATCGGATTTTGTATATATAGTGGGAGATCAAAGTTTGCAGTATCCCATAAAAATATTACTGAAGAGACTCTCCAAATGCTGACAAAAATGTTTGTTGAAGGTCTTAAAAAGGACCTTAATTCCTGGACATAGAGCTTGTCACTCAAAACTCCATCAAATATATTCTAACTATAGGGTACATTAGGGTGCAATTTCAGGCACTCTAAATCGAGTATTACACCTGTAAAAAATAAATGTTTACATTCATATCCTTCAATAATAATCCAACACTCAAATTTGTACGTTACACTTGGTCTTAACCAAATTACTCCCTTAAGTATGAATTACAAGATAAGATATGCATCGTAAACCTAACAATAACACGGACTACAAAGTGCTGTTACCAAAAAACAAGGACTACAAAGTGCATGGGTCATCCTCCTCTTCCAAGTTCCCACTTTATCCTTGTCGTCCTTTTTTGTTAGGTGTGATATTCATTGAAAATTTGAGCCTAGAAAAGTGGGATAGAAACGGAAAAAAAAAAAAAAAAAAAAGAAAAAAGGGCAAGAAAACGGAAAGGAGCACCGTTATTTTGTGTCACTATAGACTATAGTCAAATTAAAGCAACTCTTCCTTGTTTGTAAACGTAGTTAATCCTCCATTAACTTTCATATGAACAACATCATCTATGCTAATACATGATTCGTGGATGTTAATTTGGCGCTCTAGTATTAATATATATAGATATATAGATATATATAGATATATAGATATATATAGATATATAGATATATATATATATATATACATATATATATATATAGGCAGTGGGTCATCTACGTTAGGTGGATCTAAATATGTTGTACAAAATTATTGTGCAACTAACACTGCAAAGGGTTTAATGTCATTATAATTGATTGTAGGGATAAGCTCAATAAAACTTTATATGAATATTTACCTTTTTATACTTTGTATTTTGAATTTATTTAAAAACTATATCTTCAATTTTTGATCTCATTAAATATATACCTTCAAATTAGATTTAATATCTAAATTTATACCTTTCCACACCAACCCTTGATTTTAACCTTAGAAATACCTAAAACACACTTAAATAAAGAAATAGAAAAAGAAAAAAAAAACTAAAAAACCTTAAATTGACAGTTTTGACCTCAAAAATATATAAAATACCGTTGAGATGGATTTTTTTATGTTTTAAATTTTATTGTTTGTAATATTGGAAAGTTTTAGTTTCTTTTCTCTTTTTTTGGGATAGTTTGGTCACTTTAAAGGTTAAAATCAATTATTGATCGAAATAAGGTATAGATTCGTATATTAAATCTAATTTGAAGGTATACATTTGATGATATTAAAAACTGAAAATATACATTTTGAATAAGTCTAAAACACATGGTATGAAAATATAAATATCCCAACTTTATATATACTAATTGCATCGGGTCTATTGTGTGCATCTAAGATTAGAAAAGTATACCTTATAGTTCAAGCACTAATCAAAATACTTTACTTTGCAATTTAATATACTTAATGGTGGAAAACAAATCCCTGAAGACAATATCAAATCTGTTTAGTTAATGTCCGTCTTTTTGGATTTTGTTTGCCCAGTCTCATCTCCAAGACCTTGTTTTTTTTTTTTTTTTTTAAATTTTTTTTAGGACTATTTATCTTTGCAATGAATTTTAACAAATGGTTATATGACTAGTAATGTGCCAAAAGTAACTAGAAGGATCGAAGTACTGTAGGAAAAATACCACTCAAAATGATAAAAAAATATTATTTATATTGTTTTATTTAAAAATAAATAATCATTTAAAAATAATTTATTTAAAATGACATAAAAAATAGGCCATAAAAAATCAATTCAAATCATGTACTTTTCTTATTTTCCTTAATACTATTCTGGATATTTACACGTGTCAAGAGATGTCTTTTTTGTGTGTGTTTTTTTTCCCTAAAAACTTTCCTTTTGTTCAATAGTCAATAATGTGAATGCATAATCATAATTAGATCACTCCTTTCTATAGGGACCAATACAAAATGTGGCACGTGTATAACTTTTTTCAAGGCTTATAATAAAAATTAATTTTAAAAACGTGTTGGTGAGCTGAAGAATTTATTATTTATTGGATAATAAAAAAATTCATTTATACAACTATTTATAGATTTTTAAATCTATTTTAAAAATAAGTTTTTTTTTTAATTTTAGTTGAAACAATACTCTCTTTTAATTTTAAACACTTATTTGTGAAAAAGATCTATTTAAATATTGTCAATTAAAGGAACACAATTTAGTATACATATTGTAAAGATAACTTTTGATATAATAAGAATTATATGAAAAACAATTAAGTATGGACACATTTAAAGAAAAAAATTAAATAAAAACATAATATGTGAAAGAAATTACTTTTATAAGAGTAAAATGCGAAAAAATATAATTTAAGAAAAACAGAAGTAAAAATAAAAATGTTAAAAAAACAAATTTTCAAAAAAAAAAAAACGTATAAAACTAAAAAAAATAAAGATACAAAAGTAAAAAGAAAAAAAGGTAATTTTGACAAATACATTTTAAAAGTGCATGAGTCATGATTTTTATCCTTTATTCTTGATTCATAACATTTTCAGTCAAATAATTACATTAACCAAAGAGTATTTATAAAAAATAAAAGATAAAAGTCCAGACTGACGTACTTTAAAAAATAAAATTTTCATTTTTTTATAAAAAAATAGAGAAAGGGCTGCCATGTGGTAGCCCCGTTGAAAAGAGTACCAACCAAATGGATAGATGTTAATGATTATAAATAGTAATAATAGTACAAATATAGTTGTATTATTGGCATTCAACCTTCAAAAATAAGACTCCATTTATTTTCCTTTTCAAAGGAGAAACCACGTTGCTCACGTCTTGTGAAACAAAACATCCCTTTCGTCGGTAATTAATCATTATTCAAGCACATTTGTCACGAAAGAAGCTTTGAGGTGCCATACAAGACTCTATCCCTCTCCAAATCTCTATCATAGACAAACATCACCACAAGAAAGAATACATTCTTTATATGGTGGTTTCATATTATTAAATTCAAAGTGTGTGATTTCTACTTGTGGACCTCTTTGGAATGACTTTTGGGCTTTTATAAGCTCTTTCAAAACAAGCCAATTTCTTGATACTCATAAAAAGCTTTTTTATTTACCTTTTCAACCTTTCATTTATGAGTAACACATTAAAATTGACATCATACATTTTTATTACATTACTTTTTTATAACAATGAGAGCTGTTAACTTGTCTAATCAAATAGATTTAAATGCTCTTCTAACTCCATGCGCTCTCCAAACAATCATAAAAAAACCGACTTAATTATGATTCTTTTCTTCTATCCGGTAAAAGTAAAAGCACAGGCCATAGCCCTAAAAGGTGACGCTGGCTAGAGTCTTGAGATTAACGGGCCTGACTCGGGCCGTGTTTCCGGCCCATAAAGCCTTGGAGATAAGTTTGTAAGTGTGTTCTGTTGGATGGAAGTAATCCCAGAACAAGAACTCATTGGGCTTTGCACAAATCTTATAACCTTCTTTCCCACATTGCAGCTCACCTCCAAGAGTCCCGTCACCACAACATGCTGTCGACACATCCGTAAAACCTACACAACATTATGCTTTTTTTTTTTGTTTTAGCAAATATGTATCTCGTGCCAAAAAGCAAGTCTCAATTTTGAAAAAGTGACCTGTTTTGGCCATGTCCCCTTTGTATGTATGTGTGCCTTAGTTTTTACTTTTTTTTCTTCTTCTTTTTAAGGAAAACTAATTTTGAAATGTACCATGAATTTATGACTTGACAAAATTCTTAATTTTCCTTCAATTGAGCTAATTAACCGTTTTTTTTTTTTATTTAAAAAAGGACATATACACAACTATCTCTGACTATAAAATTATTTAGAGAACAAAGGCACTTACCATAACGCGTTGGAATAGCTCGAAATCGCTGAACAACATCATAAACTGCCCCATAAACACCAACCATGCCGGGGTACTTAACAGGAATGTCCTTGACCAAACTTTCCAATCCTTTGTTGTAATGTTTCACCATTTTGTTCATTTTCCCAAAACATCGGTTAGTAGGTGCGCCTAAGAGCGCTCTTGCTGGGACACAGCCGACGGGCCCTAGAGAAAACACCGCAATTCGACGACCACCGAGCTTGTAAATCTCGTCGACGAATCTCCCAACTTCTACCAACATAGCTTGCACGTAGGTGTCGGGGCTAAGTGTTGGGGTGTCAAATGGTAGGAAGTAGTTGAAGACGTCGTTGGAACCTGACTCCAAGAAGAAGATGGACTTTTTGACGAGAGTTTGAGCTATGTGGTTTTGCTCTACTAGGGTTTTGAATTGTTGTACTTGGACTTGTATTGGGGTGATTCCCTGCATACCATGCATCAATATGTAGTTAGATGTGATGACGCTTAGCTGTATAGGTAAAAACTAGCTAACTTTTTTGCTCATGAATTTCTTCAATAATACTATCCCCAAGTATTGTTTCTAACCTGCCAAAGAAATAGTTTACCTCAAAAAAAAAAAAAAAAAAATGGTCATTATGATCTAGTAAAAGTTTGAGAAATTTTGAAGAATGCCACACAACATGCTCGCTTTCAGATTTTTGCAACGGATATTGAAGTTTTGGGTCGCACAAATGGACTAGTTAAGGTAAACGAAACGTAACGTAGATCCAAACTAACCAAAAACAAAAACAAAACAAAAAAAAAAAGAATTTATCTTGTATAAATCTGAATTTTTACTCCTTATTTTTTATTACATTTATTCCCTTTTATTAGTATAATTATTTGACTGAAAAGATTATTAATCAAGCTTAAAGGGTAGAATCCTAACCCATACATTTTTAAGAGGTATTTGTCTCATTTTCCCTTAAAAAGTTGTATCATAAAATTGAAAACATATAAAAATTTGGGGCATGACTACTTGGCATGTTTCATGCTCATGTAAATAGACAAGGCTTCTCGTCTACGATGAACTGGGCTAAGATTTCATGGATATCTGAAGAGAGAATTCTTGGTTAGGCCCGTAGGCTTAATCTCACAGTTGAAATGTCTATTAAGATAATTAGGTAACATAAAATAAAGAATTTACTTTTTAAGTGCACTAATCTAGGCTTTTACTCTTTATTCTAGATAAATATTCTTTTATTAGTATAATTATTTAACTAAAAAGGTTACGAATTAAGAATAAAAGATAAAAAATCCTAACTCGTACATTTTTAAAGGTATTTATCAAAGATTACCGGTTCATACTTCCCTCACGTTTATTTAGGAAAGATCTTTGCTTTGTGGGTTGCTAAGATCGGCTTGCAGCCTATGAGCTGAACACATTTGACTCCTCTAATTAATTTTGGACCTTGAGTTTTCAACAAGAAAGAGTTTCTAAGTTAAGCTCTATGTTTCAACATAAAACTGGACCATCAATCCTCTCTTAAACCCATTTGGCAGGTTTTGGCAACATGGAATAGAAAGCTGATCTTAATAGTACCATAGGACTGTATATATAGGACATAAAAAAAAAGAGCTCACAGCTTGGAGATGTCTTTCACTGTTTTACACGACTAGGATCAAAGAGCCTTGCTTGGAATTTGGCAAAAGTGGATTCCACTTTGCTGTAGGGCATGAAGTGAAGCAGACAACTTGGCGAACTTGACTAATTAAAGAAAATCCTAAATCCGTTACTGACTTGATTTCGCATACTATTATTGCTTCAAAAGATTTCGGTGTTCCCCAAATTAATTAATATTGATTGTCTGGCATATTAAAACAAGATTTTGCATCTCCAGTAAGTTGGAATAAGTAGCTTCATTTTTAAGACCCAGTGAAGTCTAATCCAAGAATGAGGTTTTCCTTACCAAGTCCTTGTTTGTTGCCTGCAAAACACCACTGCCGGCACTTGCAAAGTTGATGCCATTGGAGGGATAAGCCTTCCAACTCCCATTAGAAACAGCAATCTGCGCCTCAAGGAAGGGTTTCTGGACGTCGATGCCAATGAATTGCGCTGCCAAAGTCACACCAACCAAAGAATTACAAATAACACAGCACATAACAAAACCAACAAAATCCAAATGAAGTTATAATCAAATTATAAGCCTTAATTAAGATGGGTTTAGTAAAAAAACAAGGGGTAAAGGGTCAAAGGTCATACTCACAAATGAAATCAGAAACTGTTCTTCCATTAGTGAACCTCCCCGTGGGGCGGTGGAAGAAACTCGATCCATAGGGAGGGAAATCCGCCTGAGCCGTGCAGTTCTTGTTGAAGTGGTTGTTTCCGGCATCCAAAATGGAATCACCAAAGCTGAAGATTGCCCGTTCAAGATTGGAAGTAGATGCTAAACTAAATGAAATTGGTGCATTAGCAACAAGAATGACAAGTACTACAAGAAATAAGTTCACCATTTTGTATTTTAAAGGGAAAAAAAAAAGAAGAATTGAGAGCTCTATACGTATAATACTTGGTATGGTAGAAGAGCAAGAGGAAACGTTATATATACGAGCGTAAAAGGAAAGATGACGAGGAAAAGAACATGCCATGACGAAGTTAATGCAACAGAATTCACGAGCTTGGTGCAATAAGGCCATGCTTTATATTGCTTGATTGCCTTTATCTAGATATAGGAGCAAAAAACAGTTAAAACAGTTCCTATAGCTGTTCTTCAGGAATCAGCTGGGTTTATCTTTGTTGTTTGCTTTTCTTTCTTTTCTTTTTCTTTTTCTTTTTCTTTTTCCTTTTCTTTTTATTAGTTGGATTACGCAACGGGAGGTAAACCTTTTATCTTCCGCTTGAACTTTCCTTGATCCTTAAAAGCGGGATTTTAGTCCCTTAGTTGTTTTTTGTTCTCAAAGACGGTACAAAAATTGCATTGTTGAGCACACCACCGTCGCTTGAGCTTAGCTAAAGAGAATGGACTTGTAAGCTCCATATTTGAGTTAGAGTACACAATTGGGAAAAAGGTTAATTTTTATAGGCTTTTGAACACTTTTAGCTCAAACTAGTTTAACGTATTGTTGTATCGGAGACATTGAAGAATAGAGAAATATACAACTATTTAAGAGTTTTTAAATTTATTTTAAAAAGGAATATGTGTAAAGATAATAATTGACAAAATAAAAAAATAAGTAGAGACACATTTAAATAAAATTATTTTAACCAATAAAAAATAAAATAAGAACATATGCGAAAAAATTTCTCTTATAAAAGTAAAGTGAGAAATTGTATATTTTTAAAAGCACACAAAAAAAATTAAAATGTAAAAAAATAAAAAATAAAGATAAAAAAGTAAAACAAGAGATAAGTGGAAGGGTTGCCACGTAACAGCCTCATAAGAAAAAAAACTTTAACTATTTTACGTATTGTTAAATTATGATTCGATTGGTAAGGCATCATCACTTAGACTTTTAATCGTGATAAATTTAATACAGGGTTGTCAAGTAATCTCAATGAATGAGGTTAAAATTTAAAGGAAAAAAAAAGCACTCGTATGATCTGATTGTCATTCAAAATTTTAGTCAACTCGTGCATGGGAGTTCACATATAATGTGTAAGATGGTGTGTGCGTCTCGTTAAAGGAGTGGCTGGTGAGGTACGGAGAAGCCGTCGCCGCTACAACAGATATGACGGATCGGGAGGCTCTGATGGGGGCTTTATCTAGCATGAAAAAGAACACTCCATTTAAGCGCGACCTGAACCGAAAGTCGCCTGCCACTTATAAAGAATTCTTGGCCAGGGCGCAGGGATACAACAACGCAGAAGAAGCTGAAGCAAATGATCCTGAGCACAGATCTAAGAACAAAGGAACTGAGCAAGGATTGACGTCGAGAAAACAAGACAATCAGAAACAGCGAGGTGGGAGAAACGGAGATAAACAGGTCGCATCGGCGTCGAGTCATCCAGAAGTAAGAAAGCCGAGGCAAGAGGAGAATCAGAAGCCTCACCCGTTTCAACGGTATGATTCTTATCACGAGCTGGCTGTAGGGGTTGAAAAGGTATTTAATTAGGTCGGCCGAGTAAACTTGTTGCGCCGATTGGAACCTATAAAGTCAGACCCAAACCGGAAGAACCAAAACAAGTATTGCAGATTCCACAAAGACGTTAGCCACAACACCAATGACTGCACCGACCTGAAGGATGAAGTAGAAAGACTAATCCATGAGGGAAGGCTACAAGAGTTCAGAGCTGATTGGAGAGGTCATGGCCAGGGAAACGACGGTCGGTGCTGGGAGGATAATCGACGGGGTGAAAACCGTGAGCCGGCTGGCGTTATAAGAACCATTCATGGGGGCCGGTACCTTGGGGGGACTTAAGAAGATCCCAGAAGAATTACGCCCACGAGGCAAGGCAGGTGTATTAGGAAAGGTTTTGGAACCTCTCAACTGCCAGGGCAACGAAGATAGTAAAATTCGGCGGTGCTGAAGTGGTCTTTACCGAAGAAGATGCGAATGAGGTCCATTTTCCTCACAACGACGCCCTGGTAGTAGAGGCAATGATCCGGAACCACACGATCTGTAGAATCCTCGTGGATAACGGGAGCTCGGTGGACATCTTATTCTCCGATTACCTGAAAAAGATGGGAATCCTAAAGGAGTAACTGGAGAAGACATCTCAGCCATTATATGGGTTTACGGGGGATTCACTCATCCTACAAGGAATGATCAGGCTGCCTATAACTGCAGGAGAAAAGCCTGGGCAAATAACTGTGATGGTAAATTTTGTGGTAATCAAAGGGGGTTTACAGAACAACACCGTGATTGGGAGGTCGACCCTTAAGGCGCTAAGGATAATAACTTTCGTCTACCATCAAAAGGTTAAGTTCCTAACCTCCAATGGTGTAGGAGAAATAAAGAGCAATCAATATGAATCTAGGGTCATATACTCAGATGCTATGCGCGGATATGATCAACCAGGGAGACAAGAAGCCAGAATGGTGCATCAGGGGCCAGTTGAAGAAGACATATATCCCATGATCGAAGAGGAGATTACATGGTCCCAATCAATCGAGCAATTGGAGGAGATCCGGGTAGATAACGAGGAGCCGATGAGGGTATTGAAGTAGGCTTGGATCTACCTCTGGCGCTTAAAGTTGAAGTAGAAAACTTTCTGAAGAAAAATCTGAATGTATTCACCTGGACGCATACTGATATGGTAGGAATCGACTCCGAAGTTATGTGTCATGCTTTAAACGTCGATCCCTCTTATCCTTCGAGGCGTCAAAAACGTCGACTGATGAATCCAGAATGGTACGAAGCATTGAAGGAAGAAGTCAACAAGTTGATTAACAACGTTTTCATCAGGGAGGCACATTATCCTAGATGAGTTTCAAACCCTGTCCTAGTGATCAAGCCTAATGGGAAGTGGATGACATGTGTTAGTTTCAGCGACCTCAACAAGGCCTGCCTGAAAGATGGTTTCCCTCTCCCCCGAATAGATTAGCTGGTCGACGCTACTGCCGAACATGAGTTGTTAAGCTTCATGGACGCCTACTCTAGTTATAACCAAATTCCTATGCATCCAACCGATGAAGAGCACACATCGTTCATCACGGACATAGGCCTCTATTGTTATAAGGTAATTCCCTTTGGTTTGAAGAATGCATGGGCAACATACCAAAGATTGGTAAACAAGATGTTTGCTAGGCAGATTGGGAAGACGATAGAGGTTTATGTTGATGACATGTTGGTAAAAAATATGAAGGCCAGACAGCACATTGCACACTTAGGGGAGATGTTTGATGTGTTGAGAAGGTACAACATGAAGCTAAACCCCCTGAAGTGTGCTTTTGGGGTTGGATCAGGAAAATTTCTTGGGTTCATGGTCAGTAATAGAGGAATAGAGGCCAACCTAAAAAAAATAAAAGCCTTACAGGACATGAGGTCTCCCACAAAGCCAAAGGAGGTGCATAGGCTAACAGGATGTATCGCTGCTCTTAACAGGTTCATATCTAAGGCGACGGACAAGTGCATGCCCTTCTTCAATGCACTAAAGGGAAATAAACGGTTTTAATGGACACCGCAATGTGAAGAGGCCTTTCAAAGATTGAAAGAGCACCTGGGCAAACCCCCTATCCTGTTAAAGCCCATCCCAGGTGAGAGGCCAAGCTTATATCTATCCGTCTCAATGCATGCTGTAAGTTCGGTGTTGGTCACGGAAGAATGAAGAATCCAGTTGCCGGTTTACTACGTGAGTAAAAGGCTCCTGGACGCCGAGTTAAGATACACTGAAATGTAAAAATTAGCCATCGCCTTGATGGTGGCGTCAAGAAAGCCTCGGCACTATTTCTAGGCACACACAATACGGATTTTAACAAACCACCCATTGAGGCAGGTACTGCAGAAGCCCGAAATGTCTGGTCGGCTCCTGAAATGGTCTGTAGAGTTAAGCCTATTCGACATTAAGTACATGCTGAGAACCGCAATCAAGGGGCAAGCGTTGGCTGACTTTGTGACAGAATTTTCCCATAGGCCAACGACAGCTGAGGAGGAAGGGAACAATAAAGAAGTAGAGTGGAAACTCTATGTTGATGGAGCAGCAAATGAAACTGGATCAGGGGCGAGCATTATGCTGATAAGTTCAGAGGGTTACAAAATTACCTCACAGTACGGTTCAAATTCAAACCATCGAACAATGAAGCAGAATACGAAGCGCTAATTGCAAGTTTACGGCTGGCCAGTCACTTGAAGATTGAAAGCCTTAACATTTTTATTGACTCTCAACTAGTGGTCAGACAAGTGAGAGAAGAGTATCAGGTACGCGGTGAAAAGATGAGCACATACTTGAGAAAGGTAAAGGAAGAACTCCCCAAGTTTAAAAGCTATGAGATACTGCATTTACCTAGAGCTAAAAACGCAAGTGTCGATGCCTTGGCCAAGTAAGAGTCGTCAAAGGATTCAGATATGCTAGGAGTTATCCCCATCATAGAGCTAGAGTGGCCATCAATTAATGAGAAAGCAGAAGTGGTCTTGACAACCCAAGCGACGGAAAATTGGATGGCACCACTCATTCAATACTTAATAGATGTGAAGCTCCCCAACGACAAGGATGAGGCCAAGAGAGTCAAATATAAAGCTGTCAGGTACTTATTGTATGATGGCCTACTATACAGACGAGGCTTCTCAACGCCCTTACAACCGTGCCTGGATAATAATGAGGCACAATAAGTCATCTGGGAGATCCATGAAGGGGTGTGTGGTAATCATACTGACGGAGCAATCATTAGCTCTAAAGGTTTTGAGGCATGAGTACTATTGGCCTATGCTTAAAACAGACACGTATCAATACGCTTGACATTGCGACAAGTGCCAACGATATGCAACAATTCCTAGAGCGCCCCCAAAAAACTTAACTTCCATTTTTAGCCCATAGCCTTTTGCCAAATGGGGGGTTGACCTGATCAGACCTTTACACCTCACACCGAGAGGCTTTAAATTTGCCATCGTCGCCATGAACTACTACACTAAGTGGGCCGAGGTGAAAGCTCTTACTTCGACCACAGAGGCTGCTTGCACAAGCTTCATTTGGAACAACATTGTGTGTAGATTTAGGGTTTCGCATTTGATCGTGTCTGACAACGGTAAATAGTTTGACAATGCCGCGACGCAAAAATTTTGTGATGATTTAGGCATTCAGAAAGAATTCTCAGCGCCGATACATCCGCAGTCCAATGGCCAAGTTAAAGCTGTCAATAAAATCGTGAAATACACCCTGAAGAAAAAGCTTGATGGCTTGAAGGGAAAATGGGCTGAAGAACTCCTAAAGGTCTTATGCGCGTATAGGATGACCAGTCAAACTACAACAGGCGAAACACCCTTCTCTATGACGTATGGAGTCGAGGTAGTGCTCCCCGTGGAAATTGAGATGTCGACATTAAAAATGGTCGCTTACGAGGATGATGTAAACGTCGAAGCAATGAACGGGGAACTTGATCTGTTGGAAGAAAAAAGGCTCGACTCATAACTTCGACTCACCACTTACCAACAAAGGACAGCCCGATACTATAAGAAAAAGTCAAACAAAGAAGGTTTGCCCTGGGAAACTTGGTATTAAAAAGGGTCACACAGAGCATTAAACCTAAAAATACTGGCTCTCTAGGCCTAATATGGGAGGGACCCTACCGTATAAGAGAAATGCTATGCCCAAGAACCTACATTTTGGAAAGCCTCAGCGGCAAGAAGATTCAACACCCATGGAATGCGGAGCAACTTAAATTGTACTACCAATAATGTATGATCTCTTACACATTTTAGTTGTATTGATTTGACATTTTCAATAGGATAAATGAAAGCTTATTCATAACAAAGTGTTCCAAGAGACCATGAAGAGATCGACCCCTTAATAACGTGTCTGCTTAAAAATTAAGGTTTTCAGATAGACATGGGGGGCAGGAGGGGTCTACGTACCGTAAAAAAAAAAAAAATATATATATATATATATATATAAGATGTCAAATATCGACTTCTCCAAGGAGAAGAGACGATAACTTGGCAGATTTTAAAGAATCTGCCAGTGTTAACCCTAAGGGACATTTAAACATGTTAGATGCCGACCTCTCTAAGGAGAAAAGGTGATCACTTGGTAGACTCTAAGGAATCTACCAGTGATAACCCTAATGGGCATTTAAATCTCAACAACATTGACCTCTCCAAGGAGAAGAGATGATTGCTTGGCAGATTTTTAAGGAATCTGCTAAAGTGATAACCCTAAGGGGAATTTGAAACGCCGACATCTCTAAAGAGAAGAGGCAATTATTTGGCAAATTTTAAGAAATCTGCTAAAACACGAGCCCTAAAGGGCACTGAAGACAAAAAAGATATGAAAATATAGGCAATAGTGCATTATATTATTAACGAAAAATAGACAAACTGGTGGGCTGAGAACCCATTGCCTAAAAAAAAGAGAGAATAAAAATATACAAGAAGGCCCTCAATCCCCGCCGCCACCAGCTGAGCCATCCCTATTGCCAGGTTGAGAAGAGCCATCATCGTCGATAGGAGGAGGATGAGCATACAGGAAGCCCACGTCCCACTCAGGGTGGTGCTGTTTGATCTGCTCCACTATCTATTCCCCGGCGGACTGAAAATCCTTTGTTTAGATTTCAGTAAGCTCATCAGAAGCCATGAACTCATCGATAATTTCCTCACGCTTGGCGGTGAAGACGTCTGAGTTCAGCTATTTTTCAACCGCCGCGAGCTCAGCTTCTTTCTTCCCCCTCTCGTAGCCTTCAGCCTTCCCCTCAGGAAAGTACTTCTCCTTGGCTTCAGCCACTTATTTCTCAGCTACCTCTGCCCGCTTAGCAATCTCTTCAGCCTGAACCTTTAATTGGTCCAGTTTCTCCTGGAGACTCGCCAATTTGGCCACGACCACGTTCTTCTCCTCAGTAAGAGTCGAGCACTTGGACTTTTCAGCATTGAGGAGAAATGTAAGTGTCGCTTCTATGCTGTCCATCTCGTTGCCATGTTCCTCAACCTTGACCAAATCTATAAGGTTGAGGACGGTGAGGACAAGGCCTTGAGAATAGAAGATCAGAACTCAGAAAAGGAATGACGGACATACATTAGATTCAAAATAAATGTCCAGCGCATACGTGGATCTGGAAGGATATCTACTTGTGCTGACGGTCGACCAGAGATGACCGGGCGGCGGTGACCCAATGCTTATCAAAAAATGACTAGTACAGGGCCTGAAAAACCAAAGAGAAAAGAGGAGGAAGATCTAGCATCGCCTCAACCTGGGCGTCGGAGATATCCAGGACCTAGAAGTTGGGTCCATAACCTTCGCCACATGAAGCAGAAAGTGATTCTTGGGTGGAGGAGGAACCTCAGTGACGTCGGGAATGGGAACCACCGGGGTCTAAGTCCCCTTGTCCTCTGCACCTCCTCCTAGCAAACCTTCTTCAGCGCGGATGTCCCTGACGCAGACCCAGAGGCACCCTCAGAAGGCTGCTTCTTCAGGGCCGAAGAGGAAGCGCCAGCGATGGCCTTCCCCTTCGACTTGGATATCAAGTAGGAGGTCGAGTCTAAAAGATTTACCTTATGTGTTGAGGTGAAAGGATTCTTAAATAGCTCAGAGGTTTACGGGATCAGGAAGGGAAATGAGCAGCCCTGACTCCCTGAAGTTAGCCTCGGTTAGAAGAACGTTGATGTGGCACTCGTTCTTCAGAATCTCAAAGGCTGCAAGAACCCTGGCCTGCCTATTCCCGATTAGCTTCGGTCGGTCATGAGTGACTGCACATTGAGGTAATTGTCAGCCTTATAAAAAAGGAAGAGAAAGGAGAAGAAAAATTTACTACACGGTTCTCACTTAATCTCCTAAATGACATTTACAGTTTCCGGCTCTATGGCATATGGTCTTAAAAGGTCCCCGACCATGAAAAACATAGGTGTCTAGCCATAGGAGGAAGAGGGAATGACTTATATCAATTTACCTAAAACGGGCTTTGATTGCTCATGACTACCCACCCTTCGTACTTCGCGACGTGGCTTAACTTATATATATACAAAAATTCATCCAGGGGTAGATCCACATCGAACCATTGGCTCCACAAAACCCATGTCCCAGCGAAGCAATACCAAAAGTTCGGCGCTAGCTGGGCAGGAAAGATGCCATGGTAATGGCAAAAATCCTTCACGAATGGATAAACTAGTAATGTAATCCTTGCGGTAAAGGCCCGTGTGTACACTAAAAGATATTCGGGAGGAGGAAGGCTAGATCTAAAGTTCACGTCCAGGAGAAGGTATTCAAACCATCTCCCATCTATGCGTTCGTCTCTGAACGCCCGGACGATGTCTCTGTTATGAGTCTTCGGTGCTGCCACGTCGGCGGTAAATGAAGGCCTGCCCGGGTCCCCACTCATAACGGCCAAAGGGGCTTCAACAACGGAAGCTGCGACCCCACACAGTACTCCCCCCCTCCAGAGGAATTTCACCGCTATCATCTCCTTCGACCATGCGGTCGACGCTGTCGGCATCATCCCTTGGATCAACCGCATAATTGTCAACCTCCCTCAAGATGGAGTCATCGCCCGATGAGGAAGACATCCATGAGGGCTCAGCGACGGAAGGATAGTCTAGCCTCACAGTGGATGAAGAAGGACCCTCTCGATGGTTAGATGGTTTGGGAGCCATTGTTCTAGTATAACAAAAAGAGAAGGATAATATGAGGAGCTAAGTTAAAATCCTAAGTTGAGAGGGTAAGGGTAAATAAGAAAAATGATGATCGTTTAATATCACTAATGGCTACCGAAGACATGCGAGTGTCGATGGCTCATAAAGCCGTCGATCATTCACAAGAGAAAAGAACGACGAATGTTCAAGCGAAACCCAGATTTCCCAGCCAAAAACCCCAAACCTAGAATCTCAAACTCTCTACAGTCGGCCAGAAACCAAAAAAACTAGTCTATAAGAGTCCAGATATACACAAAGTATGTTTCTAACTTCCTGAATATCTATTTCGAGCTTAAAACATGCAATAATCCAGCAGAAACCAAGCAAGGAAAGCAGAAAATGCACAAAGAACTATGCGGAAATGCGATTACAATGAAGAGACTTACCAGAGGTTTGAAAGATGGCGAAATCTGAAGCTTGACTGGAGAGGACTTCGTAAATCTAAAATATTAAATAGAAATCAATATTTTTTTAAAAAAATATAAAATATTTTAGAACATTAAAATTTAAAATATTTAAAAGAAAACAATGAAATAAAAAAGTTCATTATTTTTTTCTCGATTTATTAGTTTTTGGTTAATTAAATAGAATGGTATTATCACTAGTACCTCTAAACTTTGGAGTCATTTTCAGTTTGCCCCCTGACTTTGAATTATTCTCAGTTAATCTCATTTGTTGTAATTTCTGTTAAATTTAGACGAAAAAGAGAGGATTAAGTGTAGTCATGTGCTTTTTATCTGTTTCTTTTTAACAGGAATTTAAATAAAAAGACTACGTGATTGTGTTATTATCTTTTTTTAATATATTTTTTAACAAAAATTACAATAGAAGAGGTAAGTGGTAACAATTCAAAGTTCATGAGTCAAAATGAGAGTTTTTAAAGTTCAGAGAACAAACTGAGAATAACCTTAAAATTTAAGAGCACTAATGATAATAATAATTCTTATCTTTAAGGTAGAAGATGTTTTCAAAAATGTAGAGATACCACTTTAATCTTACAATACATAAGAGAGCCGAAGACTCTTTAATAGTACTCATTTCTTAGGCTGTCAGGTGGCACCCTATCATATTCTCTTTTTTCTTTTTTCTTTTTTTCACTACTTTACCTTTTATCTTTTTTTTTTTTGTCTAATCTACTCTTCTAACAAACATTAAAGAGCTTTTGCTCTTTTTTATAAGGCTGCCACTCACCTCTTTTTTTTTATTATCTTTTTTTTATTTTACTTTTTTATCTTTATTTTATATTTTTTTGTTAATATTTTAATACATTTTAATTTTTTTGTGACTTTTGAAAAATATTTTCTTTTTTTGTTTTACTTTTATAAAAGTAATTTTTTCACATGTTTCCTTATTTTATTTTTTATTTGAAATAATTTTTTTTAAATGTATTCTTATTTTTTTTGTTAATTATTATCTTTATATATATATTTTAAAATAAATTCAAAAATTCTTATCTATTATATAAATAAATTTCTCATTATTTAATATGTTTTTAACACGGTAATACATACAAAATTGATAATATTAACACATGATATTAAAGAGCATGTTTTGTTTTGTTATAAGACATGTACTAAAATGATTTTATCTCAATTTTAATTGACACAGAATAATCTCATTGAGCATGTTTTGTTTCGTTATAAGACATGTACTAAAATGATTTTATCTCAATTTTAATTGACACAGAATAATCTCATTGGAGGACACGGAAAGAGACGTGTTAAAGAGAGGACATCTAAGCTCAATCCGCTAGTGCCTGCTTCCGTTGTCTCTTGTCAGTTGTCAAACAGTGCGTCTGTCCGAAACCTCTGAAACTCCGAACCATGAGCGGCGAATCAACCGGAGAAGAAGCACTGGCCAAAGCCGCCTCCGCCACCGACGATCTCTACCACCTCCGAGACACTTATTTTCCGGCGAATCCCGACGACAAAACTGCCAAGTTGCAGACTCAATCCGATCTCGCTCTCAGCCTCCTCGATTCCATCCCTCCCGGTACTTCTCAGTTCATTTCTCCTTTATCCTTCGCTCAACGCCTTGTCAAATCTTGATTCTGCTTACTATTTTCTCTTCGCTGCGTTTTCTTTTTTTCTCTCTACTTGTTTGAAGAACCTGAAGCAGTAGTATTGTTCGCAAAGGCGCCTAAGTGTTTTACTGCTTTATTCTTCGTCGAATGGTTTAGGGTTCCAATTTTGATTTTCAGTTCCTAATGTCGTAAAAAAGGGAGGAACTTAGGAAGTTTTGCTTAGTTCATAGTGTCCATTAATACTTGTTTAAACGTTTGCTTAGCTATATCGGTTGATCTTGTTGACGAATTTTCTGCGAATGCTGTTTTGGATTTTGAGGTGAAAAAGAAAATTAATTATGCTGAAGCAATTATTTGAATCTGTTTTTGTTGTCTTTGTTTCCCTGTTGAGGCACTGGTCGTCGTGATTAACCTTTGAAGCCTACTGAAGCGGAATCACAAAACTTAGCTAATTGTTGTGTAATTTTCCCGACAGTTTCTGCTCTGAATTCAAATACAAGATAACTTCAATTTGTGAAACCTATTCAGAGTTTTTTAGTTGAATTGTAAATGTTTGATGTAATGTCATTACTTGGTGGTTGGTGTAAATGAGACCATTTGAGATTTAGCTAACGTAGTTTTATAGAAGCTGTTCATGCATTAATGGTTTTTCCTGGAATTGTGAATCCATAAGTTGTCTTTTTTATTAATTAGATTGTAAGTTTCTCGATTTCTTAGCATCTTATGTTTGTAAGGAATGTTAAAGTAAGAGATATTTCAAAAGAAGGTGATAACTATTCCACTTCGTTTAAGATATTATAGCAGCTTGTTTTGGTGAAAATAGGGAAGTACGTTTATAGAACATTTGCCTTATTTATTCTTTCCTAAGTGTCTAGATTGGAAGATGTGAAGATCTAACAGTGATTTAATTCATAATATGAAGCAACCAGAAAATATGCATCTATATTTTTTGTTCATGGAAATTGGATGAAATCCTACAAGCTGATGGTACATATTACAATAACTAATATTTGGCTCCCAGAGGTTTGAAAGATTGTTCTTTCCCTTGTTTCATTGTAAAATATTATATCCTCTTACAGAACAAAGAAAACTTCCCCTGCAACGAGCAACTTATGAGTATCTGAGAGGAAAGATACTAGATGTATTTGCTGACTACAGGAAAGAAGCAGAGGATCATCTCTCGAAAGCCGTAAGCAAGAGCAGATTTAGCTTTGTTATGCTACCGTTTGTAATGCTCATGTTGATTCTGTTTCCTAGAATTTATTGTTCCGCTGCGCAGGTTAAGTTGAACCCATCCCTTGCAGATGCTTGGCTATGCTTAGGTAATTGCATTTGGAAGAAGGGAGATCTATCTGCAGCAAAGAATTGTTTCACTCTTGCATTAAGCAAGGTCATTGTCTATAAAATTATTGTTTTTATGCTTTTAAATCTATGCTTCTCACTAGACTGATTGATGTTTCTATCTCTTTTTATTATCAGACCTCTATAGGTTCGTGACTATTAGATTGATACTTGCTTCTATACTAATGCAGGGTCGAAACAAAAAGATAATGTGTCAATTGTCAATGCTTAATAGAAAAATAGCTCAAGGTACGTTGGTCTACTTTTGATCTTAATTTTCCTGCTCTCTTTTGGTGTTACAGTTAGCTGTTTGGTGTTACAGTTAGCTGTTTACCTATTTGAAAGGAATTGTTTTGTCTGTTAGTGTGCAAAATGGATCAGTAATGATCCTATATCATTCATGGCACGGGATATTTGAGAAACTGATTTTACAATATAGGGATAAGCATTTTACATTCAATTTTTGTCTGTAAATTCTTAAAAACACAATCAATAGAAGTCTGGAAGGATAGATTAACAGATAAAGATACCCAGATAAAAAGCATCAAAAATCCTTATCATGTTTTTGAGGCTTGCCTGTTCATCTGCTGCACCCCATCCATCCCCCGCCCCCATTTTTTTCTTGTTTGCTTTTCTATTTTTCTTCTGTGCTTGTTTTGGAGAAGATAATCTAGATAGTCTCTGTGGATGTGATCATTTGGCTTGTTTATCTAGTTGTAAGGATGAGTTAGGAGCTTCATATTTTTCCTATTTGATAAGATGAAGAGTGAGGATATTACTTTGGCCTTCAAAATGTCTGCTTTGTTAAATTATGTAACCTTCCCATCTACTTTACTAGGCACTGAGAATCAGGCAGAACTCATTGAAGAAAGCATTCAACATGCCAAGGAAGCTATAACTCTGGATGTTAAGGATGGCAATTCTTGGTGTAAGACTCCATAACCTGACCAATAATAAGTTTGTTTATAGCTAGATCCTTTCTATTTATTTTTGTTTTCTTCTACTAAACTGACTTTTCTATGGTAACCATGTTATATTGACAGATAATCTTGGAAATGCATGTCTCACTAGTTTCTTCGTGACTGGTGCTTGGGATCACAACAAACTTCGGCAGTCTTTGAAGGCATACCAAAATGCTGTAAGTGTGCAAAGTAAGCACTTTCCTTGGAATGCATTTGATCTCTTTTGATGATTTCTTGTGATTTTTTTGTTTTTTCACTTCCTTTGAGTTTCTTGGTATTCATTTCTATAGAGGAATTATTTATTTACTCTTGTTTTGTCATTTGGTTCTTTACAAATACGGCAACCTTGAATTTCTTATTATGCATATATATCAGGAGAAAGATGAAAGAATGAAGTCCAATCCAGACTTACATTTTAACTGTGCCACTGTAAGTTCATTTTCGTCTCACTTCTCTCTTGTGAATGATTTATGAAGTTTGAAGTTTATGTAACCTTCAAGTAGAAGATAACGGAGATCATCTGTTTAGGTATGGGAAAATTAAAATGCTTGCAGTATATACCTTGAAGTTATGAATTTTAAGGAGCGCCTTGTGAGAATGACGGTGACAATTTGAGCAGAGATTATTAATACAATCAGCTTTATGATTGTTTTAACTTTTATCTTCTTATTTAGGTTCGGTAGGTCCTTCCAGAATCTTTTATGAGGTGTTCGTTAGCTGGTCCAATCCACGACAATGAAATCTGTCATCAATATATTTTCATGACATGATCGAGAACTCTGATTTACATTGGCTTTAAGGGAACCAAGTAATTTCAAATACATTATATTATGTAATTATGGAACTTAAGCAAAGGACTGGCGCCTTGTGGTTTATGTTGTGTTGATTTCGAAATGAAAAAATGGACACTAATTGTGTATATATATTTTTTATTTTATTTTTTAAAGATAATTATAAAAATACTTCAATAGAGAAGAGAACGTAAAAAAAAAAAGGATCACAATAACCATATTAATTGTTGTTTTGAATAATAGTAGAATAACAACACTGATGGTAATTTTTAAAGTTCACTTGAGTTTGATAGCTCAGGTCATACCACTCATATGAACTTGTTATGACGCAGGTTCCAGGTATTATTGAATGTGCTTGTTGTCTTGTGCAATAATCTTTTGAGTCTCCGTTGTAGGTGAACAGATACCTGGAGAACTATGAGAGGGCCCTCACTGGCTTTGAAACTGCTGCTCTAAAGGATCCTGGTCTTAAGGCTATTGAGGAGGTTCAGAAGATTGTTAATCTTCTTGACAAGATAGATAACCTTTTGGTATTGCTTTTCTTTGTATATTACTGTATTATGGGGTCTCTAATATGTTCTCTCTTTCTCTCTCTCTCTCTCTCTCTCTCTCTCTCTCTCTTTCAACATATATATATATATATGTATATATGTTAGCAAGATGTCCTTGGCGATAGATAAATTTAGTAACAGTTAATTAAAGGAGATATAAATGATACGAACAAACATATTTTTATATTGTTTCATAAATTAGTCTCTCAACAAGCATTCTACATGGACACTCAGTAGTCAACACTGTCGTTTACAGACAACATAATATTACTCTACAGTGATGGCGCGTTTTTTCAGGGTTCCTATAATATCCATTATCTCTTATTTAAAATGAAAAAGAAAGCCTGTTAGTATCCATCTTCAGAGACATAGCTAGTTCTTTAACATTTATTGTTACAGGGATATGCTAGAGCCAAAAGACTTACATCAACAGCATCATCTCTGACTGCTGTAAATTGTAAGCAACTTCGACTCTTAGTCTGTGCTCATTTGGCGGATTTGAGTGAGCATGAGTTTTGTCATTTTTCCTTTTGTATTTGGAACACTCATTTATTTGGGCTATATCTTCTTTTATAAGTCAATTCCTCCTATAGAACGGGTACTATTGATGTTCTGCGGGAGGGCATGAACAAAGGAGTGGCAATAGTGGGAAAAGTGCTATTCTTCATCAAGCATGAGAATGTTGCTCCCTTGTAAGTCCTCCTGGTTGACAACACTCTTAATTTTCTAGTTAAATATCTTAATTCTTTTTTTTTCTTTCTTTTCTTTCTTTTTTTTTTTTTGAAGTTGTGCTGCACCGGCATTATGTCGTGTAGCTAAAATGCAACTTAGAAGTGGTTGAGTGAATTAGCTCTCTCCCTCTTTCTCCTCTCTTCTCCTTCAGTCTCCAGAACTTTCCTCTCGCTTCTAACTTCTAATATTATAAAAACTAAAAAGGTGGGTTCATTTCTTTGCCTTTACTTATTTTCCCTTTTCCTTGTCCAGGTACTACGTGATATGCGATTCAAATCAAACGTGCTTTATTCTTTCAGTGTATGGTGTGCGATATGATGCGGTAAGGGTTAGCTACTTAAAGTTTACTTATTTTTAATTTTTTATTGTCACTTTTACTTTCCCTTAAAGATTCTCTTATTATTGTTCAAAAATTCTGGAATTTTTTATGCACTTGTCGTTCTTTTAAGTAGTAAAGTTGTAGCTGGAACAGCAGTAAATCCACTCAGCAAAATACGTATTCCAGGGGCGAATAACTTCATGTGTTAGCATACAATTGTCACAATGTGAAACAACAGTGCTTATTATTTTGTTTTCAAGATTTTTAATTTTATGATAGTTCCTGCCAAATCTTGGTCAAGTTTGCTTTTTAATTCCATGATAGATGAAATCATCATGAATTTTCTCTGCAAGTATAACCATCTTTTTTTTTTTTTTTTAACCTGCAAGACCTAATTTCAAAAGTATATTTATTTTTGTGCACATGGTTTATCAGATGGGACTTAGAACTAGCATTACTGCTTCAATCTGACATTGTAAGAAGTCAGTGAAGGATAATTGGTAGAACTCCTAAAGACGAACGGTTTCTGACCACAAATACAATGCAAATATCCTGTTTTCTACTCACACCTATTAATTTCAGAACAACTCAACTTTTTCCTGCAGATCAAAGAAGGAGATCAGCTAACAGTATTGGAACCTTTTCAACGACTTATCAATTTATCTTGGAAGGAAAAGGTACCTCTTTCAATTTATGCTACTTTGATTTGATTGGCTGATTAGACCAACTTCCTCTGACTCGAGTATAATATACTTAATGGGAAGTTGTAACACTGAGCTTTATTTACTTGTGTCCTTTATGGATCTCTTCTTTGTACATGATGAGCTTTGTTCTTCTTTTTCATTGCCCAACTTGTTCCAATGTATATCGTATCAGATTTATCAGTTCAAATCGATTCGTGTCGATTTCTTGGAACAAGTTCTTGTGAATGGAAAGGCTCTTTCCCCTCAGCAAGCCGTTCATTCCTCAATTTTTGCCCAACACAAACCAGCATAAACCATGAACTGTTGTTTGGAACGGAGTATATGCGTGTGGTAGCGTTCTTTAAACCATATCGTTTGTACATAGAAATGGTGATGAAGTACCGAATTCCTGCCCTGATCAAAAGCCAGCAGCAGAGAACAGGAAAATGGTACACTAAATTTTGTGAAGTGGTGTTCTTTCAAATTCTTATCTATTTTACATATGATTTTTCTGTAATTCTTTGGGTGAAATGTGCTGAGTTCTTGCCTTGATAAAAAAAATCCAGTAGTGGGGAGGAGGAAAATGGTAACATTATGATGGAGTTTGCTAGTGCTTGATTCAATTATGTAAAACGCTGTTCCTATAGAATCTTACGATTTACTTGTGACTTGCTGTAATCGAAAGCCAGCAGAGTGGAAAACAGGAAAATGGCTCATTATGATGGAGTTTGCTATTGCTTGACCGAATTTGTGAAATGGTTTTATTTTCAATTATTAATTGTTCTGTGAGTTCAGATGTATTATCACCCTTTTACATATTCCATTATTTTACAGCAAAATACTGTTGGCTTTCAGTTGATAGCATGCTGTTCCTTTTGATTTTACATCGAAGACTACCAACATATCTAAGGCAACTTCTTCTTGTTTTCTAAGGGAACTTTTTTTTTTTTTTTTTTTTTTTTTTTTTTTTTTTTTTTTTTGGGTGGGGGTAGGGCTAATTAAAATAGAGTACAAGGACACACAAGGAAATTGGAAAGGCACTAATTATTGATTAAAAGATTGGAGGCAAAGGCGAAGGCCGTGTAAGGGTTTGGGGTTCATACCGCCAAAAAACTTGAAGTTAGGATCCACCAATTCACATTTGAACCTCTTCACAAGATGATGCAAGAAAATGAGGATTTGGAGACGGGCGAAGTCTTTTCCTGGGCAAATTCAAGGACCACCCTCAAAGGGGATGTTCATGTAAGGCGGGGTCGGCGATTTCTTGTACCTTGTTGGATCAAACTCTTCTGGTGCTGGGAAATCTGCATTTATGTTTGTCGTGCTTACTGTCCAGTATACCTACTCAAACCACAACAACTGCCAATTTATTAGTTCATCAAACCTTGTAATCAAAATACGTAGTACTAATTCTTGTGATAAATTTATAATCACGAATTTCTACTACTCATTTTCTGTAACAATTATATCCGAGTGGGGGTTTAGTGCAGGATGAGATAGGAATTAGGTGCCAGTTTAATTGGGATATGTTTCCCATCTCAAATGCTAGTTATCTTTCTTGATGGTAAAAGAAGAAACATGTCTCTGATGTTACTTGTGATCTTAAATTTCTTGACATGTATCGTGTTAATTATTGAAGTAAAATATGTGTGTTTCTGTGTGTGTAGGAGGCAAACTGTGAGGTTAAAAACTTAATTTTATAGTTCTTTTTAGAAATCATGAAAAATGTTCATATGAATTACATGTGGTGGTAAATACCATTACGTACCTTCCATCCTTTAGGGATAGTATAACCTTCGTAAGAGATGTCAGTTGTGGCTTCTCTAAAGGTTCCTTGTAGTGGGGGAATCAGTCTCCTCGCTTCCAGAGCTACGTTCCATGAATATTTCATCCATCAAATCCTCCTTTTTTGAACTCGAAATCTCCTAGTGTTCTGTTTTTTTTTTAAGTCTTTTATCTTGGTGCTCCCCTTTTTATTATACTAGTTTTATAACGTATTCTACACGTATTGCCGTGTTAGAGACACCTAAAGAGTTTATTATTTACCGAATAATGAGAAATTCATTTATACAACAATTATTTAAGGATTTTTGATTTTTTAAAAAAAAGAAATATGTGTAAATATAACAATTGATGAAAAAAATTAAGTAGGGCGACATTTGACGAAAGTTATTTTAACCAACTAAAAATAAAATCAGAACACGTGAAAAAATTAATGTCGTAGGAGTACAGTGAGGAACAACATATTTTAAAAAAAAAACAAACAAAAAAATAAAATGTAAAGAAAATTCACAAAAAATAAAGATAAAAAAAAGTAAGCAAAAAACAGTTAAGTGGAGGGACTGCTAGAAAAGAGTTTTGGTTTTCTTATGTATTGTTAGATATGGTTATTGTTATTATTTTCAACTAGAGGCAGCATTGACAGCAATGTTTAAGTAAATTAAGAACTCAAATTATATAATTGAAAAAAAAAAACAATGATCAGTAGATCAGTACGTGGGAGTTGGGACTGTTAATCTAGTGTAAAATTCATGTCAAGATCATGCCAATCACGATATTGTAACTCGATACTTATGGTATATATACTACACTGAATTGGTTTCAATTATACAATAAAAGACGAATTACAAGGTTATAATGTTATATGTTAGCTATATGTGTATCCAATATATATAGTAGGTCATTACTATTGTCATTTGAATTTGGTGAGGGATCGATCGCCCAAAATATTTCTTTTTCAATTATATTTTCTTTTCGGGTTCCTAAAGATTATACATTTCCATGTACGTACATATTTTTTGTTTTTGTTTTTTGCATCATAATATGTTTTTAGTATTTTGTATAACCATCACATTTTTCTGGTAAAGAAAAGTTTGGAAGGGACATATAGGGTGCGTTTAGAATTGGTTCTAAAATTTTTTTATTTTTTGTATGAAAATGAAAACGAAAACGTTTTCATTTTCATTTTGGAATCATTTTTAAAAATGCGTTTGATAGTTTTATTCCGAGATTGTTTTCAATTTAAAAAAAACTGAAATTGTATTTGGTGGTTTAATTTTTAGAAACATGTAATAATATATTAAATAATAATATATTAAATAAACATTATTATATCTATAAATGGGTTTCGGAGGATTTCATTTTGGTGTGTTGTTTCTTGGGGGGGGGGGGGGGAGAAAAATGAAACAGATTTCATATGTTTTCAGAAAAAATGAGTTTTTGGAAAAAATCTAAAAACGTTTTTATTTTTGATTTTGGTATAGATTCTTCCCAAACACATTTTCATTTCCCGTTTTAATTTTTCTTTCTCGAAAAACATAAAAAACGTTTTCAAAAATGAAAACAAACGGGCCCATATCCTTCGTTAGTATATATTTTTTAGTAGTATGCTATGAGAGTCGTGTGATCTCAACATTGTAAATCGATTATTAAACTGATAGGCCCTATAAATTTTTACATTAAAACCTGCAAAAAGGACTATTAAACACTCAATCTTTGACCGCTGACTCACCACAATAGTCCGTTACCGTTAGGTTACAACCACTCGGTGCAACTTTTATCCCATTTGAATTCACATATCAACTCTAGCTCTAAAAAGCACATTTGAATTCACATATCAACTCTAGCTCTAAAAAGCATAAAAGAAATAAGAATTTTACCTCGTCGGACTTTGTCATAAACATCAGGCCTTTTCCCTTAGATGCATGACAGTGAAAGTTATAGCCATGCAAGGCGAGTTGAAAGCTGCGGACCCGACGCCCGTGACCTTACATCGATTTCATTTTCCGGCATAAACTTACCAGTACTAAGGTCTGCATTCTCAATCATGAAAGCCAATATATCCTTCATCTTAACCCCACCAGCCATGGGCCCCTTCATTCTCCTTCCTTATAGCCTCCGCCGCCTTCATCGCCTTCTAAAAAGCACTCCCCCGAAAATTCAAATTAGGCAAAATATGAAGAGCAAACATCATGTTTGTCCATCAACTTCGAAAGCTTTTCGATCCAAGCTCGATCTTCAAGTCCCCAAAAGAATTCCCCACCACAGTTAGAGCCAGTGTTTGAGCCAAACCATGAACTTCAACTTCTTGTTTCTCACTCCAATAAGTATCAAAATGTTGAGCCACAAAGGAATCCATTATTTCCACATAATGGACGAGAGCTTCGGCTCTGAGGAAGCCTGGGGCCTTGTTAATGTGAGCTTCGATCGGCTTAAGGATGGTATCTGTTGGAGAAAAAACACACTCCTACACCCACGCAACAAAAAAATAAACTGAAACAAAAATAACAGAAAAATAGAGAAAACAAAGATTTAAGTGGTTAGGCAAAATTTTCTACGTCTACTGAGGAGGGAGAAAAACTTCACTAACAATTTTAGAATCACACACTCAACTAACTTTTTCTCTTTCTCTCTCTATCCAAAACCCCTTACACTTTTGTCTATCTCTCTCCTCACTTTTCTCTTTTTCTCTCAAAAGAAGGCACTCTTTCTATACACTTTTCTCTTAACACACTTTTCTCTGAGCACACACAGCTTTACACAAAACACTTATTTATAGACTTATAATAACTCTAGCCCAAAAATAGAAAACAATAACTTACCAAAAAATACGAAATAGTAACTTTTCCAAAACCAATTTGAGACATTTACCCAACAATCTCTACCTTGAGTCAAATTCTCTCAACTCATTCATTTGGGTATCCAATCTCGAAACCCATCATCACACCGACAATGCAAATTTCAACAATAATAAATATGTATCAAGTTCAAACTCTCATCAAACTTGACACGAAAAATTGTCTTCTTCTTCTTCAAAGTATCTTCACGACTACAAGTCTTCACCATCTTGTCTTTATCATCTTCAATTGCAATCATCTTGTTGCACTCTTTTACTCCTGCAACTTCTTTCACAATAAAAGAAGATTCTTTGTGGCTTGTCTCCACCTTCATAGCTCCACCTACAACTATAATCCTAATCAGTTTATACAAGTTTTTCACTTTTTCACCCACCCTTCATGGCTACTAAATCATCTCTCTTGACTTACATAAAATCACCATTCACATAGTACTCACAACCCAAAGTGTCCAAAGCTCTCAAATAAATCAAACTTCTCCTTAGTGGAGGAACATGCCTAACATTTGTCAATGTCCTCACGACTTCATTAAACATCTTTACCTTAACATTACCTATCCAACAGCTTTAGCACTAGAATCATTAGCCATCAACGAAGTACCAGCATCACAAGACTTATAAGAATCAAACTACTCCATATATGGACACATATGAAACGAGCATCCAGAATCTAAGATCTAAGAGTCATAAATATTTTCATCAGCAATAACTGACTAAACATCATCTTTACTATCATACCCATCGCCACAAACATTTGCAGAATATGAAGTCTCTTGGGTTTCTTGCTTTCTCTTTTCTTCAAGGTGCAAATATCAGTTCTTCACAGTTTCTCCTAATATGCCCCTTCTTATAACAATAGTAGCATTCAATATCCTTCCTTGGGCAGGATTAGGAACGATCATTTCTTTTATCATAACATCTCCCTCGTGACTTGCTCCTACCCCTATTCGAATATGACTGTGCTACTAAAACTTGTTCAGTATGAGACGTAACATTAGGCTTTTTCATATTTGCAGTCTCTAACAGAGCAGTCGACACCTCATTCACAGTTAACGTCGTCTTTTCAATTAAAAGTGTAGGCACCAAAGTCTCATATGATTTGGGTAGGGAGGCCAACAAATTACCGTTTGATCTTTCTCATCAATTTTGACCTCTACACTTAACAATTGAGTTATACACTTATTAAAATTATTTATATGATCCCTAACATCAGTTTCCTCATCCACTTCAACTCATACAATTACTTCTCCAAATATAATCTATTCATTAGGGATTTCGACATATAAATTTTTTCTAATTTTTTACATAACTCAGAAGGAGATGTCTCATTCATAGCACTATATTTCAGTTCATGAGCCAAACTTAAACAAATAGTTCTTACCGCTTTTGCTTCCAATTCTCACAATCTTCATCTTTCATATTTTCTGGCTTTTTTCTTTGCAACGCTTTCAGTAATCCCTGTTGAATCAGAACATCTTTGTCTGTACTCTGCGAGATGCTAAAATTGCCCTTTCCATTAAACCGCTCAATCTGCTCAAATTTTATCCCAGACATCATCTTGACTTTTTTTTAAATCTTCACCACAGCTCTGATACCAGTTGTTGGGAAAAAACACACTCCTACAGCCACGCAGCAGAAAAATAAACTGCAACAAAAATAATTAAAAAATAGAAAAGTAAAGTTTAGGTGGTTTAGAAAAATTTCCTATGTCCGTAGAAGAGGGGAAAAAACTTCACTAACAGTTTGAGAAGGAGGCACTCATTCATAACACTTTATTTCAGTTCAGGAGACAAACTTAAACAAATAGTTCTTACCACTTTCGCTTCCAATTCTCACAATCTTCATCTTTCATATTTTT